GGTATGTGGTTTAGTTTTACTCAAGTGTAATGAACACGCAACATGATGTCACTTTCAGTGTGCAGCGTCGTGATTTGACACTTGTATACATAGAGAAATGGTCGCCATAGCGTGTCTGTCAACTTTTCTTACCAGTTTTCAAATTTGCAATATCAATTATTGACCATAGTGCCCATGTTGTACGTCACATCCCTTTGACTTATTTTATGGCTGAAAGCTGGTGTCTCTTGGGCGTCTTCATCCATATTTCCCTCCTCCCAAACCCCTGCCTTCTGGTAACCACCAGTCAGTTCTCTGTAGCTATGAGCTTTGTTTGCTTGTTTTGCAAAGCAACATCATGTAGTATTTGTCTTTCTCTGGCTGATTTCTCATGGCTGTTTCATTTCAGATAGTTCCCTCAAGGTCCAGCCATGATAGGATGAATGGTAAATTTTTTTTCTTTTTTATGGCTGATTAATCTCTCTCTTTCTCTCTCTCTCTCACACACACACACACACACATTTTCTCTATCTAGGCACTTAGGTTGTTTTCGTATCGTGACTCTTATAAAAAATGGTGCAATGAACAGAGGGATGTACATATCTTTTAAAATTAAGGCTTTCATTTTCTTTGGGTCAATACTCAGAGACAGAATTACTGGATCTGATGGTATTTCCATTTTTTTTTTTTTAGGATCCTCCATACTCTTTTCCATAGTGACTCTACCATTCTACATTCCCGCCAGCAATGTGTGAGAGAGACGTGATCTTACCTGTTCCCCAGATTCAAGCTTATACAAGTCTTGATCTCACCTAACTCCTTTTTTTTTTTTACCATTTGGATATAGTCGGCATATAACGTTATATTTGTTTCAGGTGTATCACACCACGCTTGACTATTGTATATACTGTGAAATGCTCACAAATCCAGTTAACATCCATCACCACCTATAATTTTTGTGTGTGATAAAAATTTAAAAATATCTACTTTTAGCAACTTGCAAACATACAGTACAGCATTACTAGTCACTGTTGTCACCACGCTGTATATTATATCCCTGTAAATTTTTTACTTTACAACGGCAAGTTCATTCTTTTCAGCACCTTCACTCTACCCCCATCTCTGTCAAATCCTGTTCTCTGCATCAGTGGGTTCCATTTTATTGTTGTAACTGTTTTTGTTTGTAGTTTTAGATTCCATTTGTGAGAGCAGACGGCACTTGTCTTGCTCGGTCTCACTTAACGCCATCAAGGACCATCCGCTCGCACAGGCATTTATTAATGCATATGGTGTAGATACAAGACTTTATCCTTATCCACCCATTCTCTGGGGACACGTAGCTTGTGCTCACATCTTGGCTTTTGTAAAAAATGTAGCAATGACCGTAGGGATGCAAATATCTTTTGAGTTAGTGTTTTCCTTTTCCTTGGACATCTATCCAGGAGTGGACAGACCGCATCAGAGGCAGGTCCAGTTTTAATTTTTTGAGCACTCGCCATGCTGCTCCGTTGCCGGCACTGATTCCCATTCCTCCCAATAGAGCCCTTTTCTCCGCATCCACCCCAATGCCTGGCGTCTCCTGTCTTTTTTGCAACCGCCATTCTCTAGCTGGCATGAGATGGTATTTCACTGCGGTTCTGATTTGCATTTTTCTGACGATTATTTTTCTTGCGGTCGGATGTGCTCTGAGGTCTCTAGTGGATGACTCCAGAGCCAGTTCTGATTCCAAGTTCTTGAAGGGATTTAAATGCTTACTATTTGAAGTGCCAGTGGCCAGTGATGTTTCTCTCAGCTGACTGGAAAGTTCCTTCAGGTAGCGGGTTGTTTTCTTCTTCCTGGATGGCTTCCAGACCCTGGCCCAGCATGTGGCACTGGGTCTGCGTGCTCCTGGATGCACCCCAGGGCCGACACGCTGTCATTTCTCCTTCTCTGGCCGTCTTAATAAAACTCGTCTCTTCCCCACTCCTGTCCCTTATGCCCTGCAAGGCTCCCCGTTCCCCAGTGGATGAAATACAGATCTTCTGTGAGCTGTTGCAGCCCCCTGCCTTGCACCCCAACCCCCTTTCTGCTGCTATTCCCAAGGAATCTCTGTGCACCCAGATGAATTTCCCTCTGGGTTTGCAGCGAGCTGGACATGCTCAGAGCCTGTCTCTCCAAGTTCCCCCACCTTGCTGGGCATCAAAATCACCTGGGAGGTGAAACAGGAAGCTCTCCAGGGCCAACTCCAGACCGAGTGTATCAGGCAGGAGGTGAGCGCAGGCGGCTGGGGTTCCAGCCCTGAAGGTCAGCAGCTCAGTGGCCTCTGAATTTGGAAGCGATCCGATGGTGAGCAATCGCAGCAGCCAGCCACCACGTGGCTCCACTGAAAAACAACGTGGAAATTTAATGCCCCCTACCCAGTGAAAGGTTCAATGGTCAATTAAGACAGCTTCCAGTAAGATCTGGAGAAAGCAACTTCTTGTCTTTCATCCTCAAGGAGGGCCCTCCTCACTCTGGGGCCAGAAGGCAATAAGAGAACAGGTAGCTTCTGGGTCAACCAGGAAGTCAATTTGGAAAAACCTGGCTTCTTATCTCCACTTATCCAGCAGCTTGTTTTATAGCTTGCTACTGGAAAGGGCTTTATCAAGGGGCCCAGTGGTAAGTCATTAGATAGGTGGAACATGAAGACCTTCATTGGGGGTCAGGAGTCAGGGCTCCAGGCTTGGGGCTAGGGGAAGATTTGTAAGATTCTAGGGCTCAACTTCCTCCTTTGAAAATAAAGGGCATCGATTAGGGGACCTCTACATTCCCCTTTTGTCTTGAGAAGCAAATATTCCTTTGTAATAAATATACTTTACTGATTCCAGTACACATGGGGTATTTTTTTTTTTGTTCCCTTTTTAACATTCTGAAATTCAGATGGTCTTCAATTGAGACACGCTTTTGATGTGCTTTCCCCCCCCAACAGTGTTACTAATTTAACAATGAGACTTACACATAATCTACAATGTACTAGTGTCAAAGACTTTGTGTGTATTTTATGTGGGAAAACACAGGCGTGGGGCTCCCTGCATGTGGCTGAGGTCTCTGCACAGAAAAGTGCGCGGCTCCTGAGAGTTCTGGGTGCTAGCCACTAGGACAAGATGGAAGATTTTAATAAGGTCAAAGTGGAAATTCCTATTGACTGCGTTGAAATGCACCAGCTCCCTACTGTGGGCTGCCCAGGTCACCAGGGCATTCTACACATTACCCAGAGAAGAGGAGCTGCTGAGCTGAGCTGCTAGGAGGATGAGGGTGTTGATACATTTTCAGAAGTACATGTGCACAGGACAGGAAAACGCTGCCGGCTTGTTCTGGAGCGAGGCAGGGCACTGTGAGAAAATGTCCCTTCCCATCAGGGAGTCTCAGTCAAGAGAGGCTGCGAGTGTCATCAGGGAGTTTGTAGGGGCTGAGTCAGGCTGTGGGTTTGTGTGCTGGGCCTCCCCTCTCCTCACTCACCAGGATCTTGAGAACAGGTGAACAAGTGCTCCCTCCACAAGCCCCGTCTGTTAAGCCATGACCTATTGCCACAACTGAGCCTCACTGCAGAGAGTGCGTGAAGCTTCGTGGGCAGGCAAGCGGCGTGAGAATGGGGTGCTCCAAGCTTGTCCTCACGTGCTGTGGGAGATCCTGCTGGGCCTGATGCGCTAGGCGGTGGCTGCTGTGGTCCCAGGTTTCACAAGGAGGCTCAAGAGGGCTGCGCCTGAAACAACCAGGCCCGCTGGACACAGCGGGAGCACCGAGGAAGACAGGGTGGAGGCTGACTGCCTGCGTGGAGGGCAGGACTTCACGGAGGGACACAGAGGGGCAGCCCCAGGGACGGGAAGGGAGTGCTGGTTGAGCCCTTTGGTTCATGAGTAGGATTAAAGCACCCCCCCCTTTCCTGGCACTTTTGGCATGAGGATGGGGCTGGAGGCTGGCACACCTCTCAATCCGGAGCCCTCGTCAGAACCTCAGCTGCCAATTTTAGGAGTGACCCCGGAGGAGGTCAGAGGACTCCGGCCGGGGCTGTCCTCCCTGGGGGATGAACCCCTGGGACCCATCTCAGCCTGGTCAGACCCATGGCTGGGCGCCCTCGGGAGGGAATGACATCTTTGTCCGGTGGCATCCCCAGAATGGGCAGCCGGGGTCTCCCGGAGGACAGGGCTGCGGCCTGGCTCTCTGGGGCTGGCACTGGAACAAGGAAGGAGGAAATGGGAACGAAGCGCTTCTCTGCGAGGAGCTGGCCGGGGAGTCAGGGCTGGCTTTGTGGGGCGTCCCTCGCGGTTTCCCTCTTCACTGCACGTGCATAAGAGTCCATTATGGCCGAGTGGCTCTTAAGCCCCGCTGACACCAGTGGCCTTTTTGTTTGCTTTGGCCGCCGGTGGCAGCTTAACTTCGCCCCACACACCTTTCAAGCTCTTCTTTTGTTCCCATTTCCTTGGAGTCAGAGTTGTTTATTGTGGGTTTCGACACCACCTGTCAAGGCCCCGCAAAGATGGATGTGGTGGTTGTTGGTGAACAAAGGAGGGGATTGGAACTATTTCCGTCAACCCGGTGTGAACCCCTGTGGAGCGCGGGGGCCCTGGGGACACCCTCCAGCCCCCGGGTCACAGCTGCCCCTGCGCGCCCTCGGGGACGCCCACGGGCTCTCCGGCCAGCGTGGGCACCAGGCGATGCTCTCGCTCGGTGAAAAGCCTCCTATCGGGCACGGCGTCCTCCGCTGCCCACTGTTCTTGGGGGGACGCCACCATCTCCACCATCGGAGTCACAGGAGGGGGGACACAAGTGGCGTCTCCAGGGCTGGGGGCAGGGGCTGAGGGCCGGAGGAGGCCTGGAGGCTCCCGCTCAGACCCGGGTCCCTCTCGTGTGTTCCGCCCACTCCCGGGCACAGTGGTGCGAGTGTCCCTGTCCTCGTTCTTGGCCCTCCAAGGAAACGCCTGGTCGTGACGGGGTCTCGCCAGCACACTGGGTCTGCGCCAAAGTCGGCTCCTCGCGCAAAGGGATTAGGCCGGGTCTGCGAAATGGAGTTAGTGTAGCCCGCGGACCTGGGCGCCCCGGGGTGGGCCTGAAAAGGTGACCACGTCAGGCTGTGGCCTCCCCACAGGAGGACCCACTGGAAGAAGTGCCCCGTGGCCCCCACCCCACCTGGCCCCTGTGCGTGGTCGCTGGACCTGCACTCTTGGGGTTCCCTGCTCAGCCATGCTAACCCCCGGCCAGGCAGTGCCCTGGGCTTCCCGGACCTCACGCGGGAGACCCAAGGGAGAGAGTGGAAAATGGCGATGGCTGGTGAGGGAGAAGCGGCTTGTTGAGGTTGAGGAAAGGGGGGGTGGGAGGGGAGCAGAGGGCGGGGGTCTCCGCCGCTGTCTTCCTGTTACCGCAGCCGACGCCGGGCTGTGCGCCGAAGCCACGTCCACCCTCGGGTCTGGACCTGGTGTCACCCTCGGCAGCCCCTCCCTCGCCCTCCGGGACGGCCACTTAGCATCTTGCGGGAGGCGTATGTCAAAAAACCGCGCTCATTCCGATGACCTCAGAGCTGTTTTCCGTCTCTACGGAATGTTTCTTTTGGATGTCTCTGGACAGCAAGACGTCCTTTGGTGAAGGGCTCGCAAATCCCCAGGCTCATCGCTTGACTGGAAACACAGTCATCTGGGGAATGGGGAAAGCTTCAGGGTCTAGTGGAAAAATCCCAGGCTCTGTGCTCACACTTTGGGCCAGGCTGTGGTTCGGCCACTTTCTCCTGTGTGGCTTTGGGTGAATGACGCAGCCTCTCTGAGCCTCAGCTTCCTCTCCGAAGCAGTCATGGAGTGAGCTCTCCCCAGCAGAGCCTTCCTTCACCTTGACCATTTCCTTCATAAGTCTTTTCTTTTTAAAGATTTATTTATTTATGCATACAAGAACTGGGGTAAGGCCAGAGATGCGGGGGGTGAGAGGATCACCAGAGACAGAATGGGGACCAGAACAGGCAGACTGATGAAATCCACTGCTGAGGGGAGCAGCAGGGGAGGCAGGAGAGGTCTGCTGCACCATGTGGGTAGCTCCCTGGCTGGCTGGGGATCAAACTCATATTACAGAGGCTGTGGATCTCTTCATAGTGTGGTGCTTAACCCCTGGCACCACCAGGGAGGCCCCCCTCCATAAGTCTTCCTGTAATCTGAAATGCTTCTCCTTCTTGCCTTCTTGTCATTTGTCTGTGCTGTACCACTTGCTCAAATCCATTAGGGCAGGGACCTTCCTATCGACCTATCGCTCAGGGTTTCAGCCCCACGACCCAGCACAGGGCTGGCATCGGAGGTGCTTAGCACGTGCTGGCAGAACGAACAGGTGAGTGAAGGCTCATGGAGCTCTTCTTATAGCTCTGTTCACATTCATTTCATCAGTTCAATTTGCAAATGTTTCTTGAGCACCTGCCAGGTGCTAAGCGTTGCTCTGGGCTCTGGAGATACGGCCGCAGCAAACACTCCTGCCTCACAAGGGCACCTGCGTTTCCGTGGGAGTGGACAAGGGAAAGACTAAAGAAGTAAAAATGCATGAGGCCAGATGGTGAAAAGTGCAATTGAGAGAGTTAGCAAAGAAGGGGCCAGGGAGAGCTGGGGTGCAGTGGTCAGGAGAGGCACCCCACGGGGGATGTGTCCAAAAGAATCTGCAGGAGGGGGGGATGAATTTCCAGATATCTGGGGAAAAGGCCTTCCAGGAGACAGCAAGTGCAAAGGCCCTGAGCTGGAGCCTGGAGAGGGCGGACATGGAGGACAGACCACGGTCCAGCAGGGTGCAGCTCTGGAAGCCACACGCGGGCTTCGGCGGTGGGAGGACGCCTCGGGCTGTGCTTCTCAGGGGTCCGTAGAGGCGGTGTTTGTTGCTAGAAGATTCTGCTGTTGGATTTCCTCCTGGCTCGTACTGTCTCTGCCTTCCTGCCCTCGGTCCTCCTGCTGGACGCTGGCCCAGTGCGGCGTGGCACTTCCCCTCTCGGGGCTGCAGGCTGGTGACCCCGCTTCAGCAGCTGGTGTCTGTGCTGCGACTTCAGAGCAGCAGCAGGAAACAGGGACCCACTAGGTCCTCACAGCCTGGCAGGTGGGGGCCAGGGCCCTATAATCTGGTTGGCAAGACTGAGAGCCGAGCTGAGCAGGCCGAGCCATGTTGTTGGCCACAGTGGGGGCTACGCTGCCTGCTCCTCAGAGGGCAAGTTTAGACTCTGTGCGTCAGCCTGACACCTGAAGGGGAGTCAGGGTCACACAGACTTCCAGGGCCCAGTGTCCACAGTGAACAGTGCAAGTCTGTAGACCAAGGATCCAGGGCCTCCCTCTGGCCCCCGCCACTCAACGCCCTTGGTCTCTCCCAGGTCAAGGGGCTCCGGGCTCTGAGACCAGAGGCCCCGCAGAGGTGGGAGGGGCCCAGCGCTGCCTCCAGCCCTCAGGGTGGGAGGCAGGCTGCTTGTCTTTGGGAAGAGCAGCTTCTAGAAGTCAGCCACAGTTGCGTGCTCAAGGGAGTCCTCCTGGGACCCCAGCTCAGCATCGGGCAGAACCTCTGTGGCCCCCAGAGCCGCCCAGCACCTCTCAGTTCCCAGTCCTGTGAAAGGAGGGACCGGCCTCCATCAGGGAGCTGCCCACAGCTCTGGAGAGAGGGGCTCGGGGTGGGGAGTGAGGAGAAGGTAGTGAGGACAGGCGGGGGCCTTGCCAGCCGAGCTGCCAGGGCTCCTCCCACCACCAGCATCATCCCGCTGGCCTGCGGTCTCCCTAGGTCTCTAGGGAGAAGATTTTGCTGCTTAAAAAGAAAAGAGAAAAAGTCATGTGTGACGGCTGTTGGGTTTCTTCCAGTTGGAGGCCTCGCCTGCAGGGCTGAGGGTCTACCTTCTGGAGTTTGCTAGGGCGAGTGGCCATCAGGCTGCTGTCCCCGGGGGAGTCCGTTAGGATGGGGTCGCTCAGTGTCAGTTTCTCCTCCTCATGCTCTCAAGGGCAGCTTTGTTAGTGAAAGCAGCGCTGGGTCTTCTACCCAGACTTGCTGTTTATGCCGGTGCTTCCAGCCAGTGGGCAGGAGAAAGGTGAGTCCTTTGAGTCAAAGCAAAGGCTACTGGATGTAGGGGGTCCCCCCAGATCCTTTCTCCCCTTATAAGGAGACTACCTCTTCTGAACAGGCCTTATAAACAGCACAAAGGGCCAGGGGACAAGGTGGGGCTCTTGTGATGAAGACCCCGTCCGATTCTGGTTTTTTTTTTTTTTTAAAGATTTATTTATTTATGCTTACAAGAGCCTGGGTACAGGCCAGAAGTGCGGGGGTAAGAGGATTCACCAGAGACAGAGTGGGGAACAGAACAGGCGGCTTTACTGAAATCCACTGCTGAGGGGAGCAGCGGGGAGACAGGAGAGGTCTGCTGCATCACGTAGTAGCTCTCTGGCCAGCTGGGGATTGAACTCGTGCGGCTGTGGCTGCAGATAGCTTGATAGTGCTGAGACTTAACCCCTTGCACCACCAGGGAGGCCCCCCATCTGCTTCTTCCCTCACATCCAGGGCCTCCACCTTCCTGCTCCTCTGGCATCATCTACTTCCCCATCTGCACCTCCTTGGCCAGATTTGAAATGACAGGTGGATTTCCTCCACTTCCTTCTTCCTGGAGTTTCTAGACACAGAGCTCACAGCCGTTGTTGTCTTAGAATCTTTGCTAACCACAGCAGGGAATGGACAGGTTCACTGAAAAAACACAAATGGGGAAGTCTTGTCTTTGGGGAAATCTCACTGAGTTCTGCAGGAGGATGCGCCTGGTCTGAGCTGAGGTATCCACGGGGCTTATCCCCACCTCCCTTCTCACAATCCTGGCAAGTGGCTCTTTGTTCCTCATCAGGTTTCCCCTCTCTTGGTTGCTGAAAGATTCCTGCTTATATTTCAAAACGAGGCTTAGATGTGACCTTCTCTGAGACACTGCCTCCATCATCTGATTAAGGTGCTTTTTCCCCGTATGTTCCCTTAGCCACTTGTTCTAACACCTACTACCCTCTGTTGTAATTGTCACCAGGCATGTCTCTGAGAGCAGGCCGTGTGCTTCTTTTCCACTCCTTTCTCCCTCATGACTATCAATATTCCTACCCCCACCTCTCTGTGCTGTGCTCAAGACAGACCTTACCAATCTATCATAGCTCTTTTGATGATCCCATGATTTAGGATGTGCTTCATAAACCATGCTCAACCTCCTGAATCCAAAAGATCATAACCTCCTATAAGGAGAAATCAATGCACTGTTGTAAAGGCAGGAACAGGCCACAGTGCAGGTTTTCTGGGATCCCATGCAGAACAGGTAATGGAGGAGTCAGAGTCCTCAGTGGTTTTTTGCAGGTCTTTTATTGGGGTTCACCAGGCATATGGCAGGCAGGGGTGCTGGCTGGGGGGCTGGCAGGCCTCCCAGCCCCCAGCAAGTCTTCACTCTATCTGGGCTCTCTGGCGTTCGTTCTGCTGCTTCTCGGCTTCTCTTTCGGCTTCTGCTTCGGCTTCTGCTGGCGTCCCCGTGACGCTGCCCTTAAAAGCACAATCTTAGCTCAGCTGTATCCCATCTACCTATGCCCATATCCTATTCCAGGTGCCCGCCATCAGGCATGCATTCAGGATAAGGATCCATCATCTATCCTGATGGCGGGAGGGCAGAAAAGCCTGACATTTTCTTTACCCTACAACTGTCTGCCTTACGTACCCCAAGAAGATGTATCCCCTTGTTCTTGTCACTTGACACTCACCAAGTGTTGGACTGACAGTCAGCATATGGCCATGAGGCTCTCCTACGGAGATGCGCCCATCCTCACCAAGGAGAAGAGGATCTTGGGCACAATAGGAAGAGCTGTAGGACTAAAAATGAAATCCACGCTTGCATGTAGCTTTCACTGAACAGGGCTCATCTGGGCCAAGACAAGAGACAAGCCCTGTAATGCCATCTGTTCCAACTGAGAGTTATCAGCCACTTAGGGTATTTTGATAAAAATAATGACTGACAGCCCTCTCGGTAGTTGGTGGTGGTTGGTGGAGTTTTACCAGAGTCCATGGATAAATTCTGGGAGGTTCTAAAGGGCAAAGTGATAGCTACACAAGACACACAAAAAAAAGGGTTTCTGTGTAAGCCAGGAGACCCAGGCAGGTGAGGTGGGTTTGCCAAGGTCCAGTGTCATCCCATGTGAATGCCAGAAAGCAAAGCCTGTGAGGTGGCTGGAGGTGGGTCAGTTTGAGGTCACACGTGTCTTTGCTCCTGTGCCGTGGAATCAGAATGAGACCAAGGAGACAGTGACCACAGCTGCCACGGGCCCCAGGACCCACAGGCTCATTCCTCAGGCTTCTGGTTCCAACTGCACCTGCACCAGTGTCATCCTTGTTCTTCCAAGGCAAGATTAAGTGCACAGGGACCCAGGATCGCATGTCCTGCCAGGATAAACCATCCCAGAGAGATGCTTTTCCCCTTGGCACCAGGTCCTATATTTGCCCAGCAGCCCACATCCTGCTCTGCCCCGAATCTTGGGGCTGACTTCCCACAGTTTAGTTCAAATTCTCCAAGATTAAAATCAAGACTCTCAAGTCTTCAGGGAGCACTTGAGAGTCTTCAAGTTTTACCTAAAAGGAAGTTGAGGTGTATCCCTATTGCCAGTGCTTTGGCAGTTGGGGAACTGCCAGGTTGTTCATATGACAATCAATCAAACACACCTAAGTTGTTCCCACAGATTAGCCATTGACTATTAACAAAGTTCCTTACTGCCTTTGTATTGATTTATGGCTTCAGTGGAAATATACCGCTCTGGCAGACACGCCTCTTTTCAGCCAGAAAACTATAAATGTCAAGGCATTTTTAGTCAAATCGAGAAGAACCCAGCAAAATGGGGCACTCCACCACCATTCTTCAAATATGTCTGTTGCTGGGTCGAGTCCTATCTACAGGTATTATGTCTAACTTATTTGTTCATTTCACTCCTGCAAACACACATCAGGGCAAATTATGTCTTGCTGCTCCTTAATGCTGGACTTCCCATTTCAAGGGGAGTTTTGTACTAAGGAGGAGCTGATGCTTTGCTGCTAGTTGTAATCGCAAGTATTTGGAAAGAATGTCTCTTTTTTGTTTTATTTCTGGCTGGGAGAGGCAATCAGAGAAAAAGCGGGTCATCATGGCAGAGGTTTCGGTGAGCCTCTCCACCGAGGAAATGATTGATGGGTCTCTGGGAAAATTCCTGCAGTGAAGAAAAAGCGTACGCGTGTTATGAAGAGGCCCTGAGTCTTGGCCATGGTTGGCTCAACACGCAGCAGGTGTGCTGTGGAGACGGGCGGGAGAGGGGCCCTTGCAGATGCTGGTGGTGTGACTTCTGTCTGCAGGTGTGTCTGGCTTGGTGATAAATACTGAGAAAACCAGGTCCGCTAGCTGAGCATAGACAAGATTGAGACTCCAAGTTCGTGTCTGTCATTCCTGCTTCAGATAAAGGATTCGCAGCTCGGTGACTCAGGCATGTCATTGTGCTCTGAGCGTGCCGGGGACTAAGGTGTCCCGTGACAGAGCCGCTCGGTGTGACGGCCGCATCTCAGCGGCATTTGGCGGAGATGCTCCTCTGTCACCTCCTCCTCTGTTTCTCTGCCTCCGGCTCTGTTTCTGTCTCATCTATTTATTCTCCCTCCTTCCCTCTGTCTCTCCCTCCCTTCCTTCTTTTATTCCATGACCCTCCCCCTTTTCTTTGGTGTCACCTTTTGCCACATTCATGAGTTCCAGAGGACCGGGCAAAAATATCCTGATTTCCAAATAACTGCCGGAACTCTCACCCCACCCCTAGGCTTGGTAGGGGGAGTACAGGCTCATTTGCTTTCATGAAAGCAGCACCCCCAAACCAAGCCCCCATGGCCTCGGGGAAGGGGAGCAAGCCTGCATCCTGTGATGCGAGTGGCATGGTGATGATGGCGGCCGGCTGCGAGGACACCCACCTTTCCTTCTGGTTAGGTTTTGGGTTTTCCGAAGCCTGGAGATGGTGGGGATCCATGTGCTTTCTTTCAGGCTTTATGGGTATGAAGTGATCGCCCTGGCCTGTGCTTGAAAAGTGACCCATTGTTCAGTGAGCCCTGACAGGTCAGGGAGTGAATTACTCTGTCCTGATCTGCAAAGGGCTTAAGGCAGCAGTGCTCTCAATTTGAGGGTGTTTGTGGTTTTCTTCCTGCATGCATGCACGCATACATGTGCGCACACACACAAACACACACACACGCATCTGCGCTGCACTTGAGAGGTGAGCATGGACCTCTGCAAAGTACCTGCTCTGCACTAGGCCCTCCGAGGCCAGTGCCCCTCTGTGCTCTTGTCTAAATCTCTGTGGACAGCCCCGAAGTTAGGTATCGTTATCTCCACATTGCAGATGAGGAAACTGAGGCTCAGAATGGTTCTGGGCTTATCTAAGGCCAGCAGCTGGTGAGTGGCTAGGCCAGGATTGGTTCTGAGGGGGGGGAGGGATCTGCTGGCATTTGGGTAGCAGTTCTGGCCCCTTCATGTTCGAGGCCCCTTGCTTCATGCTGGAGGCCCTGCTGACGCAGCAGCTCTTCTCAGCCTGGCTTTGCACAAGCTCTAGGGAAGGCCTCGTGCCCATTTGTGTTGGGCAGGAGGGTCCCGCCACCCTGCTGACCTCACCCTGCTGGCTCTGGCTTTGCTGCTTGCCGGCTCTGGGACCTCTGTGAGCCCCAGTTTACTCCTTTGCACAATGGGCTTGTGTTCCACCCGCATATTGTTGTACTGGAATGAGGTTGCCCACGAGGACTGGCACAAGAAAGGCGCTCGGGGATCATTCAGTTATTCTTCTAGGCATTTTCCTAATATTTTCTCCTAATGTAATTTCCTGAATGTGAAGTAGTATCTCAGATCAGATTCTGGAACAGGAAAAGGGAAAACTGGTGAAATGCAAATAAAGCCTGGGGTTTAGTTAATAACTGTGCTTTTAGCAATTTCATTCGGCTCATGAACTGGGAAATTGAATCAAAACCCTCATGTCAACTCTCCACGCCTATTAGCTGGAGAGGCTCAATTTTCTCAAACAATTAGAAAAGCAGTGGGTTCCACATTCTTGCACACGCCTAATTTGCTTTCCCTTTGTGATGAAAGGCTAATGTTTATTTTAATGAAATAAAGAAGTACCTCTGGCAGGAAACACGCAGAAACAAAGGCACAAATTGTTGAGGAGTCTCTCGTTGAATGCATTTTGATGAAATCAAGGTTTTTTTTTTTTTCTTACCACTTTTCCTGTGGAGTAATTTAGCAATTTTTCTCACATACACAGGAGACTTAAGAAAGCTTTATCAATTTGAATTAAATTTCAAAAACAGATGACAGATCTGTTGATGTGGTTCTACGCACATCTTGTGATCTGAGTCAAATCTAAGAGAAGCCAGGGTCCAATGGCAGATTTTGTGGTCAGGATCCCCGCAGATGAATCACACGCATGTCTGATTTTTCTTTTATTTCTTTATAGCTTCCTATACAGAAATTCACACAACTCCTGGTAAGTACTATGAAAAACAAAACAAACAAACAAAAAAACCCTGTATTTGGTAAGTACTTGGAAAAAAAAAAATACTCTGTATTTGGTTCCTAATTTATTTTTCCTCCTATCCATTTCTTTACACTTTAAGATTGACATTGCCTCACTGAACTTGAATGAATGGCATGAATTCTACATAAAAGTTTGATTTATGTCCCTTCTAGAAATACAAAGATAGTAACGGCTTCCTTCAGCTGCAGCATCAACGAATTATGCGGATCTGCTGTATGTCTTGTCATTTTATTGTGCCTCTGCCTTAAACTTCAGATCAGCCAGGGTATTTGTTTGAATGCAAGTCCTAGGACTTCACTTCTCCTTCTCACCCCCTGATTTGGGGTCTTGGGGTGAGACTTGGGAATCAGCATTTCCATATAAACAAAACTAAGATGGTCTGCAGGCCAGGCTGCACAGCTACCACCGAGATAAGTTCATGCCGTGATATAATTCAGGAAGTGTGGCTGAGTTCCCAAAGGCAGGGACAGAAGATATGTGTATATATTTTAAGAGTTACCTATTTTCACTTTTCTTCGTGTGTGTATTTCAACATCAAGTGCATTGACGTTTTTAACATTTTCCTGAATGCTTTTTGGCTCCAGCCTAAGTCTGAATTGTTGATAGAGGAGACCACAAATGCATTGCTAACAGGAAACATTTTCACCTTTTTCTGAATGGTGTTGTCAATATCCTTACTGCCTCGTTGGGTGAGAACCAGTCTCAGCGGGACCCTTCTAAGCAGGAGCAACCACAGCGTGGTTGCTCCGTGGCGTTTCCAGGAGCGTATGTCTCCTGCCTTCAGGATTTAGGGTCTGATGGAAAGATGGACATTCAGCGTCAGAATAACAGCTGTGATAAGTGTTGGAACAAGAGGTTCAGGGGGTAAAAATGGGGCCAACCCCAAGAAAGTCACAGGTGAACTGAGTTCAGCACTAATATGGAGTTAGCCAAACAGGAAGAGTTTTTCTGTTATTCCCGGGCATGGTTGTCAGGGACTTGAGGGGACAGATTGTGATATGGGGTGACTGTAGCCACCCCCACCTCCCAGCTGTCCAGTGCTGCCTTCCACCATGCTTGGCCATTCCATCAGACAAGTTTCCAGCCAGGGTAGTGCCCCAATGGGAGGTGATCTCGAGGGCCCTCTTCCCAAACTGTGCCCTTGACACATTTTCTGAAGCTCTGAAAAGAGGAGCAGTGGTAGAGTTTTTTGAGCAACACACTTTTGGAAGCGTGGTCCAGGCCTAAAGGCACCTTTTGTCCCTTGGAGCCGATGGGTAAAGAGCAGGTATGTGGACAGGTGGACAGGTGTAGTCAGGCCAGGTTCTCACCTGCCTTCTAAGGAAAAATTCTAAATCTGGAGGGAGATGTTGGGAACAAAGCTAGAGCTGCACCCCTGAGTAGAGGTGCACCCCTGAGTAGAGCGCCCCCTGAGGGGGTGCTCATCCTTGCTTGTCTTTATGCTCAAGCTTCAGTTTTGCATCTGTTAGTACAATAATGTACCCAATGTCCAAATCTAACAACAGGTACTTTGGGAGGTTTAGGGCAATGTCTGACTTCAGATGAGAAGGTACCACCAGCCCCTTTGGGAAGTGATTGGGTCATTGGGGTTATCTTTGAGTGATTTCTTTGTGGCTTTTCCTGGACACCTATCCCCAGTGGCAGAGGATCCTGTCTCATTTCCTGGAAAATAAACAAGCGGAGGTTTTTCTCTCTGGTTGATTGGCCATCATTCCCCTAATGGGAGTGGGTGTCATCTACAACCAAGTGGTTGGTTGTTGGAGGAATGCAGATTGGTCTCATACATCTGTACAAAAGGGGTATTCAAAACGCGTGGGCACAGCCCAAACACACAGCTTCAGCATGCTGTCTGGCGCCGTGGGAGCAGAGCTTCTGAGCTGGATGCAGATTCTGGCACTGACTTCCACGTAACTAAGCCAGGTGCACAGGGTGGCAATCGTGTGGTGTCGTCTGTATTCTCTCTTAAAGGCAGAGTTTGAATGGAGAAGTCTCTCCAGCGTGTCTGTCAGCATGTCCTTGAGGGTGGGAGCAGGCGTGGTATGTCAGAAATGAGGTGGGGATGTTCTGCTGCACACATTTCCTAGATTTATGGTCTCTGTTGAAAGAATGTTCTGGCTGCCTGTTTATTGCAAATTGCTTCTTCATTTTCAGGGGTGTGTAACATGTGACCTCACTAGTCCTGTTACTGGGCCATTAACAATGTGAAATGGGCAAATGGAAGGGTCCATCGTGGACCCCAACGTTTAAGGGGTTGACCTAGGTGGTACAGTTCTGACACTAAGTCTCCCTGTTGCTTCTGTTAGAGAAACTCAAACCCTTGGCCCCTGATAGCTGCTCCTGGCAGGACTTATGTTTTAAAGAATCTGAGAAGTTTGTCACATGCCCTAACATCCCTTACACTGGCAAGTAAGGGGATCAGGAAAGCAACCTGGTTAGAAACTTTCAGAATTTTAAACTAGTACATCTCTTTGTATTTGGTATACTTGGATATAAAAACATCACGAAGGATGAACCAGGATGACTGCTGCAAAATACAAGGGATGAAATCCTTCCCCTTGAAGTAGGTGAGAATGCCACGTTTTTCTTTTGTACTTAAGAGCTATCTCACAGCCTCCTCCACATTGGCTCCCCAGCGAGGATGCAGGAGCGCACCACCGAAGACTCACAGTCTGAGATTTCATGTGTGCGACCATCTCCTCGTCGTCTCTGGCATCTAAAGAGCTGTTCTCTGTCTGTTTACATTCCTCTTCTGATTCATCTAATTATTGTGAAACATGTTCCTCAGTTTTCTTCTCTTTGCCACCATGAATAGAAAATTAAAAATTCTGAATTCTTTTTTTTTTTTTTTAAAGATTTATTTATTTATTTATACAAGCACTGGGTACAGTCAGAAGCGCGGGAGGGTGAGAGAATTCACCAGAGCCAGAGCGGGGAGCAGAGCAGGCAGAAGGACCGAAGGACACTGCTGAGGGGAGCAGCGGGCGGCAGGAGAGGTCTGCGCACCATGTGGGACCCTTGCTGGTGGCCGGGGATCGAACTGGTGCTGCAGAGGCTGCGGGCAGCTTTGCAACCCAGCGCTCAACAGCTGCGCCACCAGGGAGGCCCAAAAATTCTGAATTCTTAACTGCATTCAATGAAATCTAAAAGCACTCTGCAAGGCACTTGTGTCTCCAGTCTTAAAAAAATAACTTTCGGAAAGATAACGCAATATTTTGGGCACTGAAGAATAATTTATTTCCCTATTTCATCTTCTTTTTTGGGCAATGCCGCCATTCTTCCTTCTTCTTCTTATATGTCTTTTCTATAATAATTAATAATTGATGAATAATAATGAACTAATTCCCTAAATGATGAAATAGCAAAATGTTTCAAGACATAGAAAAAATGTGATTACTAAGAGCTGATAATGTATCTCGGATTTAGAAATGAATTCAGTGAATACATATAATGATCGTAGAGGGAATGAGTCTTATTCTATTTTTTTAATGGGCATTTTTTTTCATGCTTCCGAAGACCTCTCAAATATACACAGAAGTCATAAAATATCAATTCTCACAAATATAGATGCCCTGCAACTAAAATTGCATCTAATGGACCCATACACTGAGGCTGACCTGAAGTCGAAGGTCTATGGGAAGATTTAATCTGGCCTGACTGATGAGGCTGCAGATTCGGGGTTCTCCAGATTTTGATTTGCTTCAAGATAGAGTGAAAAGATTTCAGGAAGGAACAGAATAGTGACACCAAATGACTTATTTAGGGGTCTTCTGAGCAGAGCTGACTCTGTTCAACTTTCAGACTGGAGGGTGAGTTCAGCTACCATCAGGGATCCTTGACAGCTAGTTTAAACAGCCCTCTGTGGGCATAAGCTATATCCTGTGACTATACACTATAGTGTCAGCGGTCTAGTAAAAAAACATGAACTTTATTACATCTAAGATTACTGAATACCCCAAAGCCCAGTGACTACTATCTCACAACCAACCCCAAACTCATTTAGCAAGGGCTCTGGGGCAGGCAAACCCAATACCAAACCACAGCGCCCCCTGGCATGACTATGAAGAAGCTCAAGCCGACTTCTCTGTAAATCAGTTTTCAACAGGGGGTCCTCTTTACTAAGACGAGTTTTGTTTCTTTCCAGTTATAGTGACCACCCAGACTACAGACTTTGGTAAGACCTTTTTGCTTTATTTGTCTTCCTGTGGGTTTGCTTTCTGGCTGGGTGGGCTGGGTAAGGTCTTGCTGGTCACAAGGATGCAGGGTAGAGAGTGAGTGTCAGGGGCGCTGAGATCCAACGCATGTCCCGGATGCACACTCAGCTGGCCCTGCCTTTCATTCTCCTTCCCTCCTTTCTCTGCCTTTCACTCATTCACTGCATGAAATCAGCTTCAGCTTGGTGTCAGGAGAAAGAGGTGAGCACAAGTCAGTGTCCCTTCACCGTGAAGGACAGCTGTCTTGGAGCTAGCAAACACCTCCCAAGCACACGCTATGTCTCCTGCACAAAATTACTTTCATATATCAAATGAGTTGATATATAAAAAAAATTTCAAATGCTGCCTGGCACAAAATAAGTGCTCAGTGAATGCACATAGGAAGTGTTATTATCATGCACTCTCTCTGACAACACTTTGAAGAAAGTAGTATTATTACCCCCATTTTGCAGATGGGAAATCAAGGCATAGTTCGGCAATTTGTCAATAGTTATGTCTAAGGTCCCACGGCAGGAAAGTGGCAGGGCAGAGATCTGAACCCGCAACGAGTTCCTTTGCCTCAGTCCATGATTCTCATTAAATGCTTCCATCTCTCCTCTTGCATCAAAGTTGATTTGTCAGGGTCCTTCAGTGCTCATTTAGGACAGCAGGCGCTGCCAGTGATGCCCAGAATCTGTGAGACCAATGCCTGCTCTTTCAGAACATGTCCTGAGAAGCCATAATGGCAGGGGACTTGAGGCACTTTCTGGTGATTGACACCCAGTTGGGGACAGGCTGAGGCAGAGAAGACTGTGGGCTCTTCTGAGAGGCTGTTCACAGGAGTGACCAGAGAGGGGCAGCAAGGAGGGCTGAGGAAGCACCTTGACTGTGGAAACTTCCACTGGGCCTTTCCCCACTCTTTCCTTGACCCTGGTCTGCTCCAGGATCCCCACCCCCACCCCGGTTGAGGGCCCTGGCTGCCTTCCTTTCTCTAATCCAAGCACATTCATTGATTCAGCATTTACAGAGTCTGCTCTGTGCTCCCGAGTGGACAGGATTCCTGTCTTCCCCAGTCACTTTACTGCTCAAAAACCCCCAACATACTCTCCACTCCCACCCTGATCAAATCCAAGATAGCATCCATTTGCCTTCTGGTCCCCAACTGGGTGTCAATCACCAGAAAGTCCCGCAAGTCCCTGCCATTATGGCTTCTCAGGATTTTCCCTTACAATCACCACAGCAACCACCTGCCCGCTTACCTCCCATGCATTTCAACCTCTCTGTCACACCTGAGCACAGATATCTCCTAGCATCAAGCTAACCACAAAAAAAAGCCACTCCCAGGCCTGACTCCAGCTGTCAGGAGGCTGGGCTGGATCCCTGGGGACCTGCTGCCTGTTTTCTTCCATAATCTGCACACCGTTTCCCAGCGGGGACTTAGCAGGATCACGGCAGACATGAACTCAGTGTCTGTGGCCTCCCCTCATGGCTAAGCCCCTCACAAGAAGCTTGGAAGGTGGCTGAGCGTCTGCTGTTGGAGATGGATGCCATGTGGGATTCGATCGGGATGGGAGTGGAGAGTATGTTAAGGTATTTTGAGCAGGAAAGCGACTGTCTGGGGAAGACAGGAATCCTGTCCACTCGGGAGCACAGAGCAGACTCTGTAAATGCTGGGTGCATCAATGCCTGTGCATGGGGCCAGGGCCCCCAAGGGGGTGAGGGCTGGAGACCAGGGACAAAGAAGGACGATCTAACGCAGCAAAGCGGCGGCGGGGGTGAGAGCGAAAGGTGACCCCGGCGGCAAGCTGGATATAAAAGGCGAGGAGAAGGCAGCGTCAAAATCGACAACCAAGTCCTAGCACAGTTATGTGGAGCGAGTGACACGCCGGCTCCAAGGGAGGGAGGAGAGCTGCGTGGAGGCTGGGGTGGTGGGCGGGATGGGGGGGGGGCGCCGGCAATGCTGGTGTGTAGCTTGGGGCTGGCTTTGACAGGGCCGATCAGGCCTGGGGAGGTGGTGGGGGGCGCTCCCCTTGGAAAGCCGGGAAGTACACGAGGACAGGACAGCGGGCTGGGCGGGTTTGCCGAGTGGCCCTGACACTCGGTGTCGGCCCCCGGCGGGGCCCACTTTGGCCAGGGCTCAGGGAACATTCTCTTGGTCCCTGACTCTTTGCGGAATTCTCCCTGACTCTTTGCGGAAAATCTCCTTTGTTCACAAAGGATGTGCTGGTCAATGGCGCCCGGGGGTCACTTAATCCACAACTAACCCTCTGAGGATACTGCCCATTGTGTGTCCCCCAAAGGGGAGTGTGCAGCTAAATTATGCATCTTTAGAACAACCTCTGGCACTTGCTGTGTGGAGTGGTCTGTGCCCACACCACCAGGCTCAGGATGTGACCGCGATAATCCAAGCCCACAGGGCTGGACTCCCTGAGGAGCGGCCCCCAGAGGCGTCACTCTGGAGCAGACTTGTCCCACCTAGAGGAGGCATCTTGGAAACTTGTTTTTCCCAGTTGGGACTGTTTTCAGGAATGCCTTAGGGATGGTAGATATCCTCACTGGAGGGTGTGTTTGAAACATAGAAATAGGCATCTGGTATTTGAAAGCCAATCTTGTGAACAGGGCAGAGCTGTCTGCATGGAGACTGGAAGCAGAGGAGGAAGGAGAGGGCAGGAGCAAAGATTGTCCCTGGTGGGAATTGAATGAGGCTCAACAAAGTGATAGAAACATTCTGATTCCCAGGAACCCCCCCAGAACCTGCTTGTAGTGGGCAGGGCCTCCTGGCCAGCATCAGAGCCCAGGAAGCAGAGGACCAGCCCCCCTGTCATGAGGGCCAATAGCCAGTGACCCCTTTCTCTCCCCTCTGTGCATGCTTTGGCTGCACAAAGACTCCCCAGCGGCAACTCTGGCAGAAGGTGATGTTTGTTAGGTGATATCCCTGTGGGCTCATTACCCCACTGCATCACCCCATAGATTCATCTTTGATCCAGAAGACCTGCAGAAGGAGTAAGATATGGGGGTGCTAAAACTCCAGGGCTCCTTCTGCACCAGGCTCCAGGCCTGAATGGGTGTCCCCTCCTTGCATTGTGTCACTGAGATTGGGGAGGAATCCACCTCCAGGGGCATCTCCAAGGAGCTCCAAGAGGTGTCCTGTCTCCAGTGTGGCCCTGTGGCCCATGCTAGGGACGCACCCCTGTGGTCTTCACCTACCCATGCCAGTCGGGCCAGGCTGTAGCCAGTCCCTGGCTGCACTCATGGAGAGGTGAGTGTAAAACTGCACGGGCGGCCTCCTTGCCTATGTCCTCTCCTGAGGCTTGGTCCCTTCTGTAGGTGGAGGAGCCCAGGGGCTTCAGCCTGTGGGCCTCAGCAGTCCCATGATCCCTCTGGGCCAGTTACAGAGAGGTGGGAGGTCAGCTAAACAACCTCAAGTTCTGGCATGTGGGCTTTGGGAAGGAAATTCTGGCGCTCAACCTTAAGAAACTTTAGCCCCAGAACAAGGGCAAGAAAACAGTGTCCCCTTACTATGGAGAGCAGTAATATCTGCTCCTTCCTGTGATGAGGCTGACTGGAGGGTATGATGAGAGGTGCTTGACAGCCCAGAGGACACTGGCCATGAGAAAGTCCCCTGAGTCCGGAAGATTCCCGAAACTCGTTTGTTCTGCTGTTTTCTGTGGTATGATACTGAGGCTTTTACCCGCTCAACCCCTTCACACCATTTTTTCTCCTTTCCAGATTTCTGGACAACCACCGACACCACAACTACACCAATACCAGGTAAGGCCTCCTCCCAGCGTCCTGAGCGCCCTCTCTGCTCCTGGTAACTGTGCTTTGTCCATGGGGAGGTTGAGGTGGATTGTGTCCCTGTGGGTAAAATATCATCTACTGGAACTTGCTAGAATCCTGTCATACCCTGGTCTTGACAACAAGCTCTGCATTGCTGCAGGGTCTGGGCCTACACATATACCACAGAGACCCCCTAGGCCCCAGACTGGCTGTGGGAGACGGTCCTGCTCCTCCTCTTGGGGCTGGACCTCTCTGGGTGAGCGCCCTCCCGCAGCACAGGCAGAGCCCGCTCGCTCCTGTGTCGGCCAGGGCTGTGGGGTTTCCAATCACTGGCTGCCCTGGCACTCTGACCTCCAGACCTGGAATGTCAGTCACATGTATTTTTCATTTTCCCATGTATGTCTGACCTTTCTCTTTTGTCCCCTCCAGAGACAACAACGACAGGTAATCAACTTCCCTTCCTGAGCTCACTCTCTCCCTGTGGATAACGGTTGGTTTGAACATGATAGTGGGGGGCACTGTGGTGTCCCCCTTATCTGTGTCCCTGGGGCCCAGGTCTCACATCCCTGGGATTTTGTCAGGTTCCTGTCACCCTACGCATGTGAGCAAGCCCCGAGCAGGGGCAGGTCTGGAGACACACCCAGCTGGAGGAGCCCCTGAGTGTCCTGTTCTCCCCTTTGGGCAGGTGGGGGCTCTGCTGTTACCAGAGAATCGTGAGACGGGGCAGGAAAGTCAGATGTCCTTGATGTGTTGGCGGGAAGTAGGGCATGTCCAGTCACTGGCGGGGCTGGGACTGTTGACCCTAGGAGTCCCCTGACACTGACTGTCAAAAACTCCCATTTATTCAGGACTTTCTCCTGAATGAGCTACTGAACCCCCAACCAACCTTTTGTGCCCCTTTTGGATCCTGGTTTCCCACACCCTGAACATCAGTTTTCCCCCAATATTTTGACAAGTTTTGCTGCCTGTAATCTGTTAGTCAGTACCTGTTCCCTGACTGTTCACCCCTTGGGGCTCAGGGGATCCCCCTATAGCTGAGCCTCCATAGACAGAGAAGCACAGGAATATCAGCTCCTTTCCTGTGATGAGGTGACCCTGGGCATGATGGGAGGTGACTGGCTGCCTGGGCCGCTTTGGCCATAGGGAAGTGCCCTGAGTCTGGGAGGGTCCCCAAAAAGCTTTGTTCTGCTTTCTTATGATGTGTCAGGGCTTTCATTCCCTGACTCTGTTGATCCAGTTTTTTCCCCTTTGCAGACTACTGGACGACCACCTACACCACAACTACACCAATACTAGGTAACTCCTCCTCCCACCATCCTGAGCACCCTCTCTGCTCCTGGTTACTGTGCTTTGTCCATGGGGAGGCTGAGGTGGATTGTGTCCCTGTGGGTAAAATATCATCTACTGGAACTTGCTAGAATCCTGTCATACCCTGGTCTTGACAAGAAGCTCTGCATTGCTGCAGGGTCAGGGCCTACACATATACCACGGAGACCCCCTAGGCCCCATGTTGGCTGTGGGAGATGGTCCTGCTCCCCCTCCTGGGGCTGGACCTCCCTGGGCGAGCACCCTCCCGCAGCACAGGCAGATCCACTCACTCCTGTGTCGGACATGACTGTGGCGTTTGCAATCACTGGCTGCCCCGGCACTCTGGCCTTGAGAAGGCCTTGGACCTGGGGTGTCAAACGAGTGCTGTGTTTTCCCTTTTCCCTTGTTGTGTTTCTGACTTTCTCTCTGTCTCCTCCAGATTGGTTCACCACGTCCACAACAGAGAGAGCATCTGTAGGAGGTAATCACCCCACCTTCCTGGGCTCGGTCTCTCCCTGTGGATAGTGGTTGGTTTGAACATGATAGTGGGGGATTCTCTGGTGTCCCCCTAACCTGTGTCCCCGGGGCCTGGTCTCACATCCTTGGGATTTCGTCAGGTTCCTGTCACCCTGCACATGTGAACATGCTCCTGGGGCTTGAGCCACCTGAGATGTGGCAGAAGAATGTTGTTTCTCTCCCTTTGATGAGAGGGTCACGTTGAGCTCCTTCCCGGGGTCTGTGAAGAGACTCTCTGAGGCTGGCATGGCCTTCCCCACACTGTGGGCATGTTGGGGTGTCTGTGTATTACTAGGGAATCCTGAGACATGCTGGGAAAGTCAGTTCTCACTGCACAGGATGAAATGAAATACGGGATGGTCACGGCTCTAACTGGGGTGGGAATGTTGACCAGACGTAGACCCCAGGCCTGGAAACTGTCAAAGTCCCTTTTATTTCAGCTTAACTCCTGAATGTGCAACTGACCCCCACAACCCTTCTTTTGTACCCCTTCCAGATCCTTGGTTTACCACATACTGGCCCTCAGGGACAGGTAACCCTGCACCCGTCCCCAGGACTCGCCCTTTGCCTGCAGACACATTTGGTCGGGAGGGACATGGGGGTGACCCTGTCATGGCTTCTCTGTATCCCTGGGTCAGGGTCTCCTGTCTAGTGGGGCTTTGTCTGATCCCGTCTTCCTGCTTGTCCACAGCTCCCAGGTGGTGCCTGGTCTGTAACTGCCGCTCCCACACAGAGGCCCCCTGGGTGTCCCCGGTTCTGGCAGGAGGCATCTTCCAGTTGCATGGGGTGTGGGTTCCTCTCCTGGGGCTGGGGCCACCTGGGATGTGGCAAAGAATGTCGTTTCTCTCTCTTTGATGAGAGGGCCACGTGCGGCCTCCTCCCGGGGTCTGTGAGGAGCCTCCCAGCGCCTGGCACTGCCTTGGTCTCACTGGGTTCCCTTGTGCCCTCCTGCAGAGAACCCATCAGGTCTGGCCCTGAGGCTGGTGAACGGAGGGGACCGCTGCCAGGGCCGCGTGGAGGTGCTATACCGCGGCTCCTGGGGCACCGTGTGTGACGACGCCTGGGACATCAACGATGCCAACGTGGTGTGCAGGCAGCTGGGCTGTGGCTGGGCCGTGTCAGCCCCAGCAAGGGCCTGGTTCGGTCAAGGCTCGGGCCAGATAGTCCTGGACGACGTGAACTGCCAGGGCCACGAGTCCTACCTGTGGAACTGCCGCCACCCAGGCTGGAACTCACACAACTGTGCACATAGCGAGGACGCCGGCGTCATCTGCTCAGGTGGGCCTCAGACCCCACGACCTGTCCAGGTGATCCTGGCAGAGAACAAACTCCCAATCCAGGGGCTCACACAGTACCCTTGGAGATTTCACTTACCCACACGGGCACCAGGGACAGCTTGCCCTGAGGTCCATCTCCAGTGTTAAGGAAAGCAGCCCCAACCCCATATTGGCCACAGTGAGCCCAGCAGACTTAGAGCAGCAGTGGCAGAGTGGGGAGCCACTGTTCTGTGGGCATAACCCATGAGCTGTGTCCTCCAAGCAGGATCTGTGGCTCAGTCACTGCCCTGTCATGGGATCTTTCAGGGCCACCTTGTGGGATGTGATTGGAGGAAAGTCCCCGTCAGCCTTGATGCAAGTGCTGATTGGAGACTCTAGATGCCGATTCAGGGCACAGGACTGGGGAGTCCACTGTGAGGAGGCCCTGAGCTCAGTAAGCCAGCGCCTACATGAAGGAGGCAGGTATTGGGGGGAAGCTGACGGGCAGCTGGCATGGGCTGGCCTGGCTCCTCTGCACACACCTGGGCACCCCGACCAGACTAGCATTGCCCCAGGTTGCTGGACAGGCCTCCATGCTCACGGTGCAGGGGTCATTCTTGTTGCCCACGTGGGGTCCCGAGGCACAGGCCAGAGTGACTTGTCCCAGACATGACAGTGACCCCAGCATGGAACCTCATCCTCACCCAGCCAGGAGCAGGGGCCTGGGCCAGGGGTGCATCTCCCAGAGAACAGAGGACGAAAGTGGGCCTTGGGGTGTCCTTTCTGAGGACTCAGGAGAAGCACAGATCCCTGTGTGTTTGTGGGGCTCCTCCCATTTAACACAAGAGCCCACAATGCCCTGCCTGACTCTGCTTCTCTCTCCCCAGCGGCTCAGCATTCCACGGCGTGGCCAGGTGAGTCCCAGGTGCTTCCCGGATGTCTCTCCCACCCACTGCTTTTCTCCCACTCTGGGGGAGCCAAGCTGCTCGCTGACCTTGGGCAATTTCCCGTGGGGTCTCTGCTCTACCCCCTGCTGCCTCTTAACTCGACTTGGGAGGCCCCAGAGGCCCCTTGCCAGTGCTTGCTCAATATTTTGAGACCTTGACCAGCTTTAGCTCCTGTAGATTTTTAGAAGTTGATACCTGTCTCTGACTTGTTACCCCATGGCCTTGGGGGCAGATCCCTCATCTGAGCCCCCTGAGACTGCAGACAGGGTATCTGCTTCTCTCCCTGTGATGAGGTGACCCCGGGCAAGGTTGGAGGTGACTGGTGCCTGAGGAATGTGGCTATTGGCCAGTGCCCGGCCTGGAGGGGACCCAGACTTTTGTCTGCTGTTGTCTGTGATATATAGGAAGCTTTCACCCCTACTCTCCTTGACCTTGTTTTTTGCCCCTTCCAGACTACTGGACGATCCCTGACACCCCAAGTGCACCCATACCAGGTAAATACTGCCCCCCATGTCCTGAGCTCTCTCTCTGCCCTGGTAATATGTTTCACCATGAGGAGGCTGAGGTGGTTTGTGTCCTGAAGGTAAAATCTCACCTTCTCCTGGATCCTGCTAGATCCTGCTCTTGACAATAATCTCTGAATGCCTCAGGCTCAGGCCTACACATATACTGTGGAGAACCCCTGTGTCCCAGACTGGCGTGGGAGACGGTCCTGCTCCCCCTCCTGGTTTGGACCTCCCTGGGCGAGCGCCCTCCCACAGCACAGGCAGAGCCCGCTCACTCCTGTGTCGGCCATGGCTGTGGCGTTTGCGATCACTGGCTGCCCCGGCGCTCTGGCCTTGAGAAGGCCTTGGACCTGGGGTGTCCAACGAGCGCTGTGTTTTCCCTTTTCCCTTGTTGTGTTTCTGACTTTCTCTCTGTCTCCTCCAGATTGGTTCACCACTGCCTTACCTGAGACATCAACAGCAGCAGGTAATGAAACTCCCCTCCTGGGATCAGTCTCTATCTGTGTGACAGTTGTTTTGAAAACCATAGTGGAGGCACTGTGGTGTCCCCCTTATCTGTGTCCCAAGGCCCTGGTCTCACCATCTCCTGGAGATTTGTCAGACTCCTATTGCCCTGCACAGGTGAACATGCCCCTGAGCAGGTGCAGGTCTCGCTGACACTCAGCCTGAGGATGCCCTAATCCTACTCCACACTGTGGGCATGTTGGGGTGTCTGTGTATTACTAGGGAATCCTGAGACATGCTGGGAAAGTCAGTTCTCACTGCGCAGGATAAAATGAAATACGGGATGGTCACGTCTCTACTGGGGTGGGAATGTTGACCAGACGTAGACCCCAGGCCTGGAAACTGTCAAAGTCCCTTTTATTTCAGCTTAACTCCTGAATGTGCAACTGACCCCCACAACCCTTCTTTTGTACCCCTTCCAGATCCTTGGTTTACCACATACTGGCCCTCAGGGACAGGTAACCCTGCACACGACCCCAGGACTCGCCCTTTGCCTGCAGACACATTTGGTCAGGAGGGACACGGGGGTGACCCTGTCGTGGCTTCTCTGTGTCCCTGGGTCAGGGTCTCCTGGCTGGTGGGCCTTTTTCAACCCCGCCTTGTCACTTGTCCACAGCTCCCGAGTGGTGCCTGGTTTGTAACTGCAACTTCCACACATATGCCCCCCAGCTATCCCTGGTTCTGGTGGGATGCATCCTCCAGTAGCATGGGGTGTGGGTGCCACTCCTGGGGCTTGGGCCACCTGGGATGTGGCAAAGAATGTCGTTTCTCTCTCTTTGATGAGAGGGCCGCTTGTGGCCTCCTCCTGGGGTCTGTGAGGAGCCTCCCTGCGCCTGGCACCGCCTTGGTCTCACTGGGTTCCCTTGTGCCCTCCTGCAGAGAGCCCGTCGGCCCTGGCCCTGAGGCTGGTGAACGGAGGGGACCGCTGCCAGGGCCGCGTGGAGGTGCTGTACCGCGGCTCCTGGGGCACCGTGTGTGACGACGCCTGGGACATCAACGACGCCAACGTGGTGTGCAGGCAGCTGGGCTGTGGCTGGGCCGTGTCAGCTCCAGGAATGGCCACGTTCGGTCAAGGCTCAGGCCAGATAGTCCTGGACGACGTGAACTGCCAGGGCCATGAGTCCTACCTGTGGAACTGCCGCCACCCAGGCTGGAACTCACACAACTGTGCACATAGCGAGGACGCCGGCGTCATCTGCTCAGGTGGGCCTCAGATCCCATGACCTGTCCAGGTGATCCTGGCAGAGAACAAACTCCCAATCCAGGGGCTCACACAGTACCCTTGGAGATTTCACTTACCCACACGGGCACCAGGGACAGCTTGCCCTGAGGTCCATCTCCAGTGTTAAGGAGAGCAGCCCCCAAACCTAGTTTGGCCACAGTGAGCCCAGCAGACTTAGAGCAGCAGTGGCAGAGTGGGGAGCCACTGTTCTGTGGGCATAACCCATGAGCTGTGTCCTCCAAGCAGGATCTGTGGCTCAGTCACTGCCCTGTCATGGGGTCCTTCAGGGGCCCCCTTGTGGGATGTGATTGGAGGAAAATTCCTGTCAGCCTTGATGCAAGTGCTGATTGGAGACTCTAGAAGCCATTCAAGGCACAGGACTGAGGTGTCCACTGTGAGGAGGCCTGAGTATAGTAAGCCTGCACTGAGACAAGGGAGGCAGGTGCTTGGGGGAGGCTGACGGGCAGCTGGCATGGGCTGGCGTGGGTCTTCTGCACACACCTGGGCACCCCAACCAGACTAGCATTGCCCCAGGATGCTGGACAGGCCTCCTTGCTCACGGTGCAGGGGTCATTCTTGTTGCCCATGTGGGGTCCCGAGGCACAGGCCAGAGTGACTTGTCCCAGACATGACAGTGACCCTAGCATGGAACCTCATCCTCACCCAGCCAGGAGCAGGGGCCCGGGCTAGGGGTGCATCTCCCAGAGAACTGAGGAAGAAAGGTGGGCATGGGGTGTCCTTTCTGAGGACTCAGGAGAAACACAGATCCCCATGTGTTTGTGGGGGAACGCAAGAGCCCACAATGCCCTGCCTGACTCTGCTTCTCTCTCCCCAGCGGCTCAGCATTCCACGGCGTGGCCAGGTGAGTCCCAGGTGCTTCCCGGATGTCTCTTCACCCACTGCTTTTCTCCCCACTCTGGGGGAGCCAAGCTGCTTGCTGACCTTGGGGCAATTTCCCGTGGGGTCTCTGCTCTACCCCCTGCTGCCTCTTAACTCGACTTGGGAGGACCCAGAGGCCCCTTGCCAGTGCTTGCTCCATATTTTGAGACCTTGACCAGCTTTAGCTCCTGTAGATTTTTAGAAATTGATACCTGTTCCCTGACTTGTTACCCCATGGCCTTGGGGGTAGATCCCTCATCTGAGCCCCCTGAGACTGCAGACAGGATATCTGCTTCTCTCCCTGTGATGAGGTGACCCCGGGCAAGGTTGGAGGTGACTGGTGCCTGGGGAATGTGGCTATTGGCAGGTCCCCGGCCTGGAGGGGACCCAGACTTTTGTCTGCTGTTGTCTGTGATATATAGGAAGCTTTCACCCCTACTCTCCTTGACCCCGTTTTTGGCCCCTTCCAGACTACTGGACGAGCCCTGACACCTCAAGTGCACCCATACCAGGTAAATACTGCCCCCCATGTCCTGAACTCCCTCTCTGCCCTGGTAATATGTTTCACCATGAGGAGGCTGAGGTGGTTTGTGTCCTGAAGGTAAAATCTCACCTTCTCCTGGATCCTGCTAGATCCTGCTCTTGACAATAATCTCTGAATGCCTCAGGCTCGGGCCTACACATATACCGTGGAGAACCCCAGTGTCCCAGACTGGCGTGGGAGACGGTCCTGCTCCCCCTCCCGGTTTGGACCTCCCTGGGCGAGCGCCCTCCCACAGCACAGGCAGAGCCCACTCACTCCTGTGTCGGCCATGGCTGTGGCGTTTGCGATCACTGGCTGCCCCGGAGCTCTGGCCTTGAGAAGGCCTTGGACCTGGGGTGTCCAACGAGCGCTGTGTTTTTCCTTTTCCCTTGTTGTGTTTCTGACTTTCTCTCTGTCTCCTCCAGATTGGTTCACCACTGCCTTACCTGAGACATCAACAGCAGCAGGTAATGAAACTCCCCTCCTGGGCTCAGTGTCTCTCTGTGGATGAAGGTTGTTTTGAAAATGATAGTGGGGGACACTGTAGTGTCCCCCTTATCTGTGTCCCAAGGCCCTGGTCTCACCATCTCCTGGAGGTTTGTCAGACTCCTATTGCCCTGCACAGGTGAAATTGCCCCTGAGCAGGTGCAGGTCTTGCTGACACTCAGCCTGAGGATGCCCTAATCCTACTCCACACTGTGGGCATGTTGGGGTTTCTGTCTGTTACTAGGGAATCCTGAGACATCCTGGGAAAGTCAGTTCTCACTGCGCAGGATGAAATGAAATATGGATGGTCACGGCTCTAACTGGGGTGGGAATGTTGACCAGACGTAGACCCCAGGCCTGGAAACTGTCAAAGTCCCTTTTATTTCAGCTTAACTCCTGAATGTGCAACTGACCCCCACAACCCTTCTTTTGTACCCCTTCCAGATCCTTGGTTTACCACATACTGGCCCTCAGGGACAGGTAACTCTGCACCCGTCCCCAGGACTCGCCCTTTGCCTGCAGACACATTTGGTCGGGAGGGACACGGGGGTGACCCTGTCGTGGCTTCTCTGTGTCCCTGGGTCAGGGTCTCCTGTCTGGTGGGGCTTTGTCTGATCCCGTCTTCCTGCTTGTCCACAGCTCCAGGTAGTGCCTGGTCTATAACTGCAACTCCCACACAGAGGACCCCCGGGTGTCCCCGGTTCTGGCGGGAGGCATCCTCCAGTTGCATGGGGTGTGGGTGCCTCTCCTGGGGCTTGGGCCACCTGGGATGTGGCGGAAGAATGTCGTTTCTCTCTCTTTGATGAGAGGGCCGCGTGCGGCCTCCTCCTGGGGTCTGTGAGGAGCCTCCCTGCGCCTGGCACCACCTTGGTCTCACTGGGTTCCCTTGTGCCCTCCTGCAGAGAGCCCGTCGGCCCTGGCCCTGAGGCTGGTGAACGGAGGGGACCGCTGTCAGGGCCGCGTGGAGGTGCTGTACCGCGGCTCCTGGGGCACCGTGTGTGACGACGCCTGGGACATCAACGACGCCAACGTGGTGTGCAGGCAGCTGGGCTGTGGCTGGGCCGTGTCAGCTCCAGGAATGGCCACGTTCGGTCAAGGCTCAGGCCAGATAGTCCTGGACGACGTGAACTGCCTGGGCCACGAGTCCTACCTGTGGAACTGCCGCCACCAAGGCTGGAACTCACACAACTGTGCACATAGCGAGGACGCCGGCGTCATCTGCTCAGGTGGGCCTCAGACTCCATGACCTATCCAGGTGATCCTGGCAGAGAGCAAACTCCCAATCCAGGGGCCCGCACAGGACCCTCAGAGTATTCAGATACCCACACGGGCACCAGAGGACAGCTTCCGCTGAGGTCCATCTCCAGTGTTAAGGAGAGCAACCCCATCCCCAGTTTGGCCAACAGCGAGCCCAATAGCCTTAGAGCAGATGTAGCAGAGAGTGGGAGGCCCTGTTCTGTGGGCATAACCTGCCCCATGTGTCCTCCAAGAAGGATCTTTGGCTCAGTTACTGCCCTGTCACAGTTCCTTCAGGGGCCTCCTGTGGAATGTGATTGGAGTAAAGTCCCCATCAGCCTTGTTGCAAGTGCTGATTGGAGACTCTAGAAGCCATTCAAGGCACAGGACTGGGGTGTCCACTGTGAGGCGTGTCCTGAGCTCAGTGAGCCTGCACTGAGACAAGGGAGGCAGGTGCTTGGGGGAGGCTGACGGGCAGCTGGCATGGGCTGGCCTGGCTCCTCTGCACACACCTGGGCACCCCGACCCGACTGAGCATTGCCCCAGGTTGCTGGACAGGCCTCCATGCTCACGGTGCAGGGGTCATTCTTGGTGCCCCGTGGGGTCCCGAGGCACAGGCCAGAGTGACTTGTCTCAGACATGACAGTGACCCCAGCATGGAACCTCATCCTCACCCAGCCAGGAGCAGGGGCCCGGGCCAGGGGTGCATCTCCCAGAGAACTGAGGATGAAAGTGGGCCTTGGGGTGTCCTTTCTGAGGACTCAGGAGCACAGATCCCCATGTGTTTGTGGGGCTCCTCCCTTTGAACACAAGAGCCCACAATGCCCTGCCTGACTCTGCTTCTCTCTCCCCAGCGGCTCAGCATTCCACGGCGAGGCCAGGTGAGTCCCAGGTGCTTCCCGGATGTCTCTCCCACCCACTGCTTTTCTCCCACTCTGGGCGAGCCAAGCTGCTTGCTGACCTTGGACAGTTTCCCGTGGGGTCTCTGCTCTACCCCCTGCTGCCTCTTAACTCGACTTGGGAGACCCTAGATGCCCCTCCCCATCATTTTTCTCAGTTTTCACCCAATATTTTGATACCATGACCAGCTTTAGCTGCCTGTAGGTCTGTAGCAATTTCTACCTATTCCATGCACTTGTTCACCCCATGGGGTTCAGGGACATCCCCCTATATCCGAGTCCCCTTAGACACTGAAGCACAGAAATAGCTGCTCCTTTCCCTGTGATGAGGTGACCCCCTGGGCATGTTCGGTGGGGGAAGTTTGTCACGAGGATCCTTGAGTCTAGAGGGATTTCTGAAATGTTTTTTCTTTTCTTTTTTTTTTTTTTTTTGTCATGTGTTACTGACACTTTCACCTCTCGTCCCTGATTTTCCCCCTTTGACGATGACCTACACCGCGGCTACCACACCAGGTAACTCCTGCTCCCAGCATCCTGAGCGCCCTCTCTGCTCCTGGTCCCTGTGCTTTGACCATGGGGAGTTAGAGGAGCTTTACGTCCCTGTGTGTCAACTCTCCTCGCCTCCTGGAGTTGCTCGAATCCTGTCATACCCTGCTCTTGACAGCAAGCTCTGAATTGCTGCAGGGTCAGGCCCTAAAAATGTACCGTGGAGACCCACCTGGGTCCTCAACTGGCTGTGGGAGACGGTCCTGCTTCCCCTCCTGGTTTGGACCTCCCTGGGCGAGCGCCTTCCCCCAGCACAGGCAGATCCAGTCACTCCTGTGTCGGCCATGGCTGTGGCGTTTGCAATCACTGGCTGCCCCGGCGCTCTGGCCTTGAGAAGGCCTTGGACCTGGGGTGTCCAACGAGCGCTGTGTTTTTCCTTTTCCCTTGTTGTGTTTCTGACTTTCTCTCTGTCTCCTCCAGATTGGTTCACCACCTTTTGGCCTGAGTTATCAACAACAGGTAAGGAACCATCCCTCACGGGGCTCTCCTCCCCCTTGTGTGTAAAGGTTGGTTTGAATACGAAGTGGGGGGCTGCTGTAGTGTCCCCCTTATCTGTGTCCATGGGGCCCAGGTCTCAATATCTCAGAGACTTGCTCAGATTCCACTCCCCCTGCACATGTGAACAAGCCCTCAGCAGGGGCAGGTCTGGTGACACCCCAGCTTGGAGGTGCCCCTCAGAGTCCTGTTCTCCTCTTGAGGCAGGTTGGGGTGTTCTTTGTGGTGAATATATGTAGACAGGAGAGAAAACTCATCTTACTCCCTCAGTCCTCACTGACAGTTGTCATGTATCAGCTGTCATTCATTCCCTGTGAAGAGAGACCTGGCGATACCAGGTCGTGGTCACGGTTCCAAGGAATGTGAGCTGCTGGCGCATCCTGAACAGGGAGCAGCCCTTGGCCTGTGAACTAAGCTAGTTGTCTCCCTTGGGACAGATTCAGGTTTGGCCCTGAGGCTGGTGAACGGAGGGGACCGCTGTCAGGGCCGCGTGGAGGTGCTGTACCGCGGCTCCTGGGGCACCGTGTGTGACGACGCCTGGGACATCAACGACGCCAACGTGGTGTGCAGGCAGCTGGGCTGTGGCTGGGCCGTGTCAGCCCCAGGAGGGGCCAGGTTCGATCAGGGCTCGGGCCAGATAGTCATGGACGACGTGAACTGCACCGGCCACGAGTCCCGCCTGTGGAACTGCCGCCACCGAGGATGGAACTCACACAACTGCGGGCACCATGAGGACGCCAGCGTCATCTGCTCAGGTGGGCCTCAAGATTTAGGGCCTCCCCCCTTTAGGTGTATCTTCAACCAGAGAAATCTTTTTACGCCTGTGCTGCAAGGGTTGTCTTCGTCTCGTGATTTCCTGAGGTGTCTTAGCTCCCCTCCAAGATCGGTCCTAATTTGTGTCTGCCTAATGACTGGATGGTCATTGCAGAAATGACCCAACTGACTTACCCCTTAGCCTGAGTGGTGATGGAGCATTCATGTTAGGGCTGAGGGAGGAATGTCTCTGAGTGGAGCTGGGAAGGCGGTGTTGGGGGTGAGCTGGGTATGGCCCAGCCCATGACCAGAGGCTGCAGGGAAACAGGACCCTCTGGCTCTGCATCGAGATTGCTGAGCGCGGCAGAGGCTCTGAGGCCGGCCAGGGAAGGCCTGTCGTTGTCTCTGGGGGAGGCTGAGGATCACACGGGGCTCAGCCTGCACTGGGACACCCCAGTTGTGTTGAATCAGAGGGGTGCTCACTGCTGGAAGGGAGATGGCAGATTTTGGGTGACCTTGGTGGCCACTGCAGGCCCCGAGCTCCTCACCTTGACTTTGACAGTACAAGGGTGGGGGGAGCCAACCTCTCCCCTGGAGCATCATCCAGGTTTGTGGATGACCACCAAAGTCTCCCTGACAGCACCAGCCCACCTGGGCCCTGAGCCACACGCTTTCCACCCCCGTCCTTCCAGTGGCGCCAGGGCCTTTGCTGTGCCTGACGTGACTTCTTTCTCCCACAGCCGCCAGGCCCCCGTCCACGACCAGCCCAGGTGAGTCCTGTGCCCCTATTCCTGGTGATGCCAGTGTCCCTGCTACTAATACCCCCACCCCACTTCTTTCGGTAGGGACTTGGCATTTCTGGACCTCGTCCCACCAACGGCCATGACTTTAGGCATCTGTGCCCCACTGGTCTGGGTCTGCAGGCTCGCAGGGGACCAGCGTGCTCAGGCTGCTCAGGCCACCAATGCTGCTGTGACAGAGGCGGCCTCTGTCCTAGGCTCAGCTTGGATTTCACCCAGAGCCTCTGTTCTGTGTGAGGAGAGATGTTTCCTGTCCTATGTAGCAGGCAGAACTAAGGGGTGCTCTCCCCCAGGACACCCTAACTGGAGAGGGTTCAGATAGCTCTTGAGGGCTTCCCCACCTCAACGTCCTGGTTTTGATTCAGTAAAAACTCTCACGATGGCCCCTTCTGCTCCAGCCCCCGCAGCTATCAGCCGCTCTTTCCCTCATCTGGGTTGTGCTCTCCAGGGTCCAGCTGGCTGCCCCCTCCTTCTAAACCTGCTTTGTCTTCTCTGTAGCTTGGGGGAACTCAACCAATCCTTCCAACATTAAGCGTCACTTTCCACCTGGGGTGCATACCTGCGTGTGCACTGCTGATTCTGGGAGCTCCACCTTAACTCATTGTGGAAACTCCCACCTGCTTCCCTGCGGTTCTCTCAGGAGGGCCTAGCGGGGTGTGAGGTTCCCACTCCTGCATCCTCACCAGACTGTCAGCTACTCTGTGCCCCCCTGTGGCCTTCCTAGTGTTCAGAGGCACCACCTTGCTGTGGTTTAGACGTGCACTTCCCTGCTGCCTCAGGATGTGGATTCTTGCGTGTCTTTGTGGCTTGAGTGTCCCCTCTCTAGAGAACCAGGACATGGAACTGTAGAGTCCAGGGACCCAGACCGAGCCCTGGGCCAGCTCACAGGCTGGTGAGGCAGGAGGGTTTGAACGTGGCAGGAGTAAGTTCTGAGTAGAAAAGGAGTCTCGGGATAGGCCTCAGTTTCGATGGATGGGGTCTCTGGTACTGGGAAACATGGAGGGTGGGGTCTCCAGCCAGCACGTCCAGTTGCTCCTTGTGTCTCCGGTGCCTTCTACCCATGCTGAGGACCCCGAAGTCAATGCCAATGACATGATGGCTTCTGGCCTTCCCTCACCACAAGGCTGGGCTGGGCCTTTGATAGTGTGGTCTTCATGGGCACCATCATGGAGCAGGCAGAGCTCAGCCCACATGCAAATGGGTCGAGAACAGCCTAGGGATAAGGAAGGGTGATGCGCGGGCTTCAGGGAGGCCTGTTGTCAAGGTCATGACCCTGCACCCCCAGGTCTTGTCCCTGCAAGAATGCTGACTCTCACCCTGACCTCAGGGGCTCTTGCTTCAGAACATACAGAGAGATGAACTGTCATGTCCCTTCCAGGATCTGATTCTGCCCTGGCCCTGAGGCTGGTCAATGGAAGTGACCGCTGTGAGGGCCGCGTGGAGGTGCTGTACCGCGGCTCCTGGGGCACCGTGTGTGACGACGACTGGGACATCAACGACGCCAACGTGGTGTGCAGGCAGCTGGGCTGTGGCTGGGCCGTGTCAGCCCCAGCAGGGGCCTGGTACGGTCAGGGCTCGGGCCAGATAGTCATGGACGACGTGAACTGCACCGGCCACGAGTCCCACCTGTGGAACTGCCGCCACCGAGGCTGGAACTCACACAACTGCGGGCACCATGAGGACGCCAGCGTCATCTGCTCAGGTGGGCCTCAAGATTTAGGGCCTCCCCACTTTAGGTGTATCTTCAACCAGAGAAATCTTTTTATGCGTGTGCTGCAAGGGTTGTCTTCGTCTCATGATTTCCTGGTGTCTTAGCTCCCCTCCAAGATCGGTCCTAATTTGTGTCTGCCTAATGACTGGATGGTCATTGCAGAAATGACCCAACTGACTTACCCCTTAGCCTGAGTGGTGATGGAGCATTCATGTTAGGGCTGAGGGAGGAATGTCTCTGAGTGGAGCTGGGAAGGCGGTGTTGGGGGTGAGCTGGGTATGGCCCAGCCCATGACCAGAGGCTGCAGGGAAACAGGACCCTCTGGCTCTGCATCGAGATTGCTGAGCGCGCCAGAGGCTCCGAGTCTGGCCAGGGAAGGCCTGTCGTTGTCCCTGGGAGAGGCTGAGGATCACACAGGGCTCAACCTGTACTAGGACACCCCAGTTGTGTTGAATCAGAGGGGTGCTCACTGCTGGAAGGGAGTTGGCAGGTTTTGGGTGACCTCGGTTGCCACTGCAGGCACCAAGCTCCTCACCTTGACTTTGACAGTACGTGGGTGGCGGGAGCCAACACCTCTCACCTGAAGCATCATCCAGGCAGGTGGATGCCCAATGCAGCCTCCCTGACAGGCACCAGCCCGCCTGGCCCCCGAGCCACATGCATTCCCCCACCCCCATCCTTCTAGTGGCGCCAGGGTTTGCTGTGCCTGATATGACCTTCTTTCTCCCACAGCTGCCAGGCCCCCATCCACGCCCAGCCCAGGTGAGTCCTGTGCCCCTATTCCTGGTGTTGCCATTGTCCCTGCTCCCCCCATATCTCCCACCCCTCTTTTCAGTATTTTCTAAGGGTTTTTGCACCCTTAGGTTTTTGCACCTGGTCCCTCCCACGGCCATGTCATTGGGCATCTGTGCTCCTCCGATGCCCGGCGCCTGGCTTCCACTCTCGGCCCTGGGATGAGGTGCTCTGGCTGCTCGGGTCACCAGTGCTGTCGGCACAGAGACCGCCTCTGTCCTAGGCTCAGGGCTGCGTGACACCAGGGCCTCTGTTCCGTGTGAGGAGAGATCTTTCCCATCCTATATTGCAGCCAGAACCAAGGGATGCTTTTGCCCAGGACACCTAGCAGCAGACGGTTGGGATGGCCTTGAGGGATTTTTGTACTTCAAAGTCCTGGTTTTGACAGTGAAAACTTTCCCGAAGTCTCTTTCCTGCCCCAGCCCTGAGGCTTCTCATCTACCTCTGTCCCCCATGGGATATGCTCACAAGGTTACCAGCTGGCCACCCCCTCCTATCTTTGTATCTTTTTTTTTTTTTTTTGGTAAAGATTTATTGTGTTTTTGCATACAAGAGCTGGGGTATAGGCCAGAGTTGCGGGAGGGTTGGAGGTGAGAGGATTCACCAAGACAGAGTGGGGAGCAGAACAGGCAGATCTGCTGAAATACATGGCTGTGGGGAGCAGCAGGTGAGACAGGAGAGGTCTGCTGTGTGCTGTGGGTCAAGTCCCTGCTGGGGTTCGAACATGTGCTGCAGTCCCGGGTGATAGGTTGATAGCTCTGAGACTTAGCCCCTAAGTGAGCAGGGAGGCCCCACCTCTCCTTTCTAATCCTGCTTTGTCTTCTCTGCAGCTTGGGGGAGCACAGCCAATCCTTCCAACGGTAAGTGTCACTTTCCACTTGGGGTGCACTGGGGTGCGGCACTGCTGATTCTGGGGGAATTCCATGTTAACTCGTGGAAATTCCCACCTGCTTACTCTGCAGTTCTTTCAGGGTGGGCCTAGCGGGAGGTGAGGGTCCCACTCCTCACCAGATTGTCAGCTACTCTGTGCCCCACTGCCCTGTGGCCTTCCTAGTGGGCAGAGGAGCCCCCCGCTGTGGTTTAGATGTGCACTACTGTGCTGCCTAGGGATGGTGGCCTCTTGCATGTCTTGGTTGGCCTGAGTGTCCCCTCTCTAGAGAACCAGGACGTGGAACTGTAGATGCCAGCCTGAGTCCAGGGGGACCAGACCAAGCAAGCCCTGGGAGCTCACGCTCTGGCAAGGGCAGGAGGGTTTGACAGTGGCAGGAGTAAATGCTGAGTGGAACAGGAGCCTCAGTATAGACCTCAGGTGATGGGTTTGGCCCCCGGTACTGGTGAGGCATGGAAGGTGGAGTCTCCTGAGACCACGACATACGGCTGCTCCTTGTGTCTCTGGTGCCTTCTACCCATGCTGGGGACCCTGTGGTCAGTTCGGATGACCCGATGGCTTCCGCCTTTCCCTGTACTCCAAGGCTCAGCTGAGCCATGGAATGGCTGGGCATGGTGGGCTCCCATCAGGGAGCATGCAGAGACAGCCTGCACACAAACGGTCGTGAACAGCCCAGGGATGACAAAGGGTGATGAGCGGGCTTCAGTAAGGCCTGTTGCTCAAGGTCATGACCCTACACCCCCAGGTCTTGTCCCTGCAAGAATGCTGACTCTCACCCTGACCTCAGGGGCTCCTCCTTCAGAACATACAGAGAGATGAACTGTCATGTCCCTTCTAGGGTCTGATTCTGCCCTGGCCCTGAGGCTGGTCAATGGAAGTGACCGCTGTGAGGGCCGCGTGGAGGTGCTGTACCGCGGCTCCTGGGGCACCGTGTGTGACGACAGCTGGGACACCAATGATGCCAACGTGGTGTGCAGGCAGCTGGGCTGTGGCTGGGCCACGTCAGCCCCAGGAAATGCCTGGTTCGGCGCGGGCTCAGGCCAGATAGTGCTGGACGATGTGAGATGCACCGGCCTCGAGTCCTGGCTGTGGAACTGCCCCCACAGTGGCTGGAACTCTCACAACTGCAGGCACTCTGAGGACGCCAGCGTCATCTGCTCAGGTGGGCTCCCAGTAGCTGGGGTCTCTTCACCGTGGTCCAGGTTGGCCCTCATTTGCACAGGGCTCTCCCCCCTGTGTTTCCCTGCACGCTGGCTTGTCGCCACGGCTGCGTCTGAGTCTTGTAGTCCCCCTGATGTCAGGCGGGTCCTCTGTGTGGGCCCCAGAGCATGCGAGGATTTAATGGACATTAAGGTTTTCAGAACAAATTTCCCCAGCAATTTTTTCTTTGGAGACTGACCCAGCACTGGTATATTGTTCTCCTCTTCTGGACAAGTCCCCGGAAGCCTCACTTAGTTTGTGAGGCACGGGACGCAGCTTCCCTCCCTCGTCCTGGGCTCACATTTCTCGTCCTGAGACTCACGTTTCCTTCTCTCTCTCACAGCTTCTCAAGGCAGTGCTACCACCCCAGGTGAGTCTGTGCAGCCAAGCTGCCAGGTTCCTCTCTGGCTTCCACCCAATCATGATTCTAGATGTTTGAGGAAAGAAGCAAAGTCCTCCTGGGGAGTCATTTTCCTTTAAGGGCCTGTGACTTTCCACAGAGACCCTTTGCGCCCCTAGGACCATTGCTCCCACTCGGCTCAGCCCGGAGCACTCTTGGTGTTTGTGAGGAATCCCGTCACTAGGCGGACACGCCCCAGGTGCTCTTGTGTCCCAGTACAAGTATTCTACGCTCGATGTGTTGGAAGAGCTACGTTGCCCGCGCCCTTCTGGCCATTCAGTGTAATCAGAATGTCAGGGCTCCGGGAAGTCCTGCTGGGAGGGAAGGGCTGAACTTTCTCTAGCAAACTAATGAACATGGAGCAAAAGTTTCTACTGAAATGCTAAAATAGCTTCGTTTTCTTTCTAGGTTGGTGGCCCTCACCCAATCCAACCACTCAGAGTAAGTATCATGTTTTCCCACCTGACCACAGGACGTTGGTTTCTTAGCCAGGGACTTGGAGATTCATATAATAGACCCTAACATACGCAGGACCCTGGCCTGACTCCCACACACTCCCCTACTGCCCGCGTGGGCTGCACTGCGCCCCCATGGCCTCCATCCCCTGCCCCCACGGCCTTCTCATCTTCCTGGCTGGTGGATGACTTGTCGAACGGGGGCGATCTGCTTCCCTTTCACGCTGGTAGGTTGGGTAGAACCAAAAGGTCAGGTAACAACAAGTGTTGGTGAGGGTGCGGCAGGGCACCCCGCACACCCTGCCAGCAGGAATGTGAAGGTGCGTCCGTTTTGGAAAAGGCCCTGGCGGCTCCTTGCAACGTCAGCCAGGGGCCGCCCTGTGGCTCGCACGCTCTGAGGCGTGCGCCACAGAACTGGGGAGCAGGCGGGAGAGACTGGAACACTGAGGTTCAGAGGCAGCAGCGAGGCTCCCAAAAGACCTGACATGGAAACAGCCCGAACACCCTTGTGGTGAACCATGAAATGGATCTCTCCAGACAGGGGAAGTTAGACAGTGGAAGTTATTTGGCGATAAACAATAAAAGCAAACGTGAGTGAACTTGGAAACCTTGGAAACCTGCTCATTGAAAGAAGCCAGTCACAACCCACCCCCGCAGTGGTCCCTCCACGTGGGCTGCCGGGACAGGCACCTCTGTGGAGAGGGAAGAGACGAGGGTTGCCTGGGAAATGGCATGACCCTCGTGGGTGCATCCCCTAGTGGGTGACAAGAACGCCCTCTCTGTGGCAGCTGAGAAGGGATGACAGGGCCCTCCTGCTTTCTTGGTGCTTTTGCTGCAAGGTGACCTGGCCCGGCCGCCTCTCCCCAGCAATCACTAGGCCCCAGGGGAGGGGAACACAGAGACTCACATCGAGGACCCTAAGGCGGGCAGCCCAGGACCAGGCTCCAGGAGAGGGGACCCGTGAGAGGACAAGTGGGCTGTGTGTGGAGGACAGGCCCCGCACCCGCCTGTAGACCCACCACAGCGGGGCCCCCTCTTCCGCAGGGCCCTCTTCAAATTGCGGTGGCTTCTTAAACACCACCACGGGGGGATTTTCCAGTCCATCCCACCCGGGCTACTACCCCAACAATGCCTACTGTGTCTGGACAATACAAGTGGGCGCCGGCTACCGTATCAACCTGGGCTTCAACAACATGAGGTAGGTCACCCCAGGCCGGCTGTGGGGGACGGTCCCCCAGGACGTCAGGGGCTTGGGCTGTGCCCCGGCCAGGTGGGGTCCAGCTCACATGCCATGGGGAGGCTTTCAGGGCACTGGGCCTGACCTCCTGGCCTCAGGCGGCACCGGGGAGTCCTTTGGCTTGACGGGGGAAGAGCAGAGGACAAACTTAGATTCCAAACGTGGCTCGTCATCCAAAGTCTATAGAGTAGAGGCACCGCGGGCAGGTCGGGGTCAACACAAAGTGGATCCCTTTGCCATCCAGCCTGGAGATGAGCAGTAACTGCGGCTTTGACTACGTGGAAATCTTGGACGAGTCGTGGAACGGCAGTCGTGTCCTGGGGAAAATCTGCAACGCCACCAAGCGGGTCTTCACGTCTTCTTCCAACAAAATGACTGTCCGATTCCGAAGCGATGGCAGTGTCCAGAACATCGGCTTTTCTGCTTGGTACAACTCCTTTCCAAGCGGTGAGTGCCAGCTCGCCGTGCCGTGAAGGCCCCTGTGTCTGGGCGGACCCCTCTGCTGTGTGCCCTGTGGCCCCCACCTGAAATCAGTGAAGCGCGTCAGTCACTTGGGGCCACAGCTGAGGTCCTCATGCGGCCGAGCCAAGGCAGTGAGGTGTGGGGGCCACAGCAAGTCCTGGGGGCCCTTACCAGGTCAACACCTCCCCATCGGGAGAGTGAGAGGTCTGCGATCTGACATGGGGAGCCCCTTCCCGCATGGCTGAGAGCCATCTGTGTCCTGGTAGGTGTGAGCCTGACACATCTCCCGTGCTGACTTTGGGGGCCTTGGGTCACTCAGCGCAGTGTCGGGGAGCACGGCCATCACTTTTTGTGACTTGTCTTTTAGATGCCAGCTTGAGATTAGTCAGTTCCAACCACTCCTCCGGAGCGTGCGCGGGACGTGTGGAGATCTACCACGGCGGCCGCTGGGGCACGGTGTGTGACGATTCCTGGGATATTCAGGATGCCCAGGTGGTCTGCAGACAGCTGGGGTGCGGACATGCGGTGTCAGCCCCTGGGAATGCCTATTTTGGCTCCGGCTCTGGCCCCATCACCCTGGACGACCTGGGGTGTTCTGGGGCAGAGTCTACTCTCTGGCAGTGCCGGAACCAAGGCTGGTTCTCCCATAACTGTGGCCACCACGAAGACGCTGGAGTCATCTGCTCAGGTACTGCACGATGTCCACGCCCCGCCGGCCCACCCTGACCAGCTGCAAGGGGGAGCTGTGGGCTGGACTGACGGCCTCTGTGCTGAGTCCTGGGGGTGGGCTGGGCGGGAGCTTGCTGGGGCAGCCCCTTGGCCCGTCCACTCCAGCAGACTGCAGGGGCGACTCGTTCTTGGTCCACAATGCATGGTGTGTTCTTCTTCCACCATTTGCTCTGTGACCGTGAACAACAAATTAATCTCTCGAAAGTTCTGCTTCCTCTTTTACTAAGAGGAGCCAGTCAGGATGGCCCCTGCTTCCAGTGGTAACTGGAGGAGTAAGTGGGTGAAGCAAGAGAACTAAACTGGGCAGGTGGAGTGTGACGAAGCAGTGCAGGTTCTGCCCCCTGGACTGGGGTCCTGATGACCCCCAAGTTGCCCTGGGGCTGGGGAACTCCCAGGGGAAACTCACTTAAACCTCCTCTTGGGGGCAGTGCCTCAGAGGGGCCAGGGAGCCTCGCTGGTGGGCTCTGCATCCCAGGGCGCCTCTGCCTCCCCGGCCCCTCCTTTCAGCACCCGGGTGACCGGTGTTTTCTTCTGTTCCTTTTCAGGATCCCAGCTCACCACCCCCAGTAAGTGCGATTTCTGTTTCACCCCCGCTGCCCCTCCGCTGCTGGTCCGGGTGGTGTGGGCCTGCGGGCTTCCTGCTGCTCATGCGTGTCCCCAGCCCCATGATTCTAGATGTTTGAGGAAAGAAGCAAAGTCCTCCTGGGGAGTGATTATCCTTTAAGGGCCTGTGACTTTCCACAGAGACCCTTTGCGCCCTAGGACCATTGCTCCCACTCGGCTCAGCCCGGAGCACTCTTGGTGTTTGTGAGGAATCCCGTCACTAGGCGGACACGCCCCAGGTGCTCTTGTGTCCCAGTACAAGTATTCTACGCTCGATGTGTTGGAAGAGCTACGTTGCCCGCGCCCTTCTGGCCATTCAGTGTAATCAGAATGTCAGGGCTCCGGGAAGTCCTGCTGGGAGGGAAGGGCTGAACTTTCTCCAGCAAACTAATGAACATGGAGCAAAAGTTTCTACTGAAATGCTAAAATAGCTTCGTTTTCTTTCTAGGTTGGTGGCCCTCGCCCAATCCAACCACTCAGAGTAAGTATCATGTTTTCCCATCTGAACCACAGGACGTTGGTTTCTTAGCCAGGGACTTGGAGATTCATATAATAGACACTAACATACGCAGGACCCTGGCCTGACCCCCACACACTCCCCTACTGCCCATGGGGGCTGCACTGCGCGCCCCCCATGGCCTCCATCCCCTGCCCCCACGGCCTTCTCATCTTCCTGGCTGGTGGATGACTTGTCGAACGGGGGCGATCTGCTTCCCTTTCACGCTGGTAGGTTGGGTAGAACCAAAAGGTCAGGTAACAACAAGTGTTGGTGAGGGTGCGGCAGGGCACCCCGCACACCCTGCCAGCAGGAATGTGAAGGTGCGTCCGTTTTGGAAAAGGCCCTGGCGGCTCCTTGCAACGTCAGCCAGGGGCCGCCCTGTGGCTCGCACGCTCTGAGGCGTGCGCCACAGAACTGGGGAGCAGGCGGGAGAGACTGGAACACTGAGGTTCAGAGGCAGCAGCGAGGCTCCCAAAAGACCTGACATGGAAACAGCCCGAACACCCTTGTGGTGAACCATGAAATGGATCTCTCCAGACAGGGGAAGTTAGACAGTGGAAGTTATTTGGCGATAAACAATAAAAGCAAACGTGAGTGAACTTGGAAACCTTGGAAACCTGCTCATTGAAAGAAGCCAGTCACAACCCACCCCCGCAGTGGTCCCTCCACGTGGGCTGCCGGGACAGGCACCTCTGTGGAGAGGGAAGAGACGAGGGTTGCCTGGGAAATGGCATGACCCTCGTGGGTGCATCCCCTAGTGGGTGACAAGAACGCCCTCTCTGTGGCAGCTGAGAAGGGATGACAGGGCCCTCCTGCTTTCTTGGTGCTTTTGCTGCAAGGTGACCTGGCCCGGCCGCCTCTCCCCAGCAATCACTAGGCCCCAGGGGAGGGGAACACAGAGACTCACATCGAGGACCCTAAGGCGGGCAGCCCAGGACCAGGCTCCAGGAGAGGGGACCCGTGAGAGGACAAGTGGGCTGTGTGTGGAGGACAGGCCCCGCACCCGCCTGTAGACCCACCACAGCGGGGCCCCCCTCTTCCGCAGGGCCCTCTTCAAATTGCGGTGGCTTCTTAAACACCACCACGGGGGGATTTTCCAGTCCATCCCACCCGGGCTACTACCCCAACAATGCCTACTGTGTCTGGACAATACAAGTGGGCGCCGGCTACCGTATCAACCTGGGCTTCAACAACATGAGGTAGGTCACCCCAGGCCGGCTGTGGGGGACGGTCCCCCAGGACGTCAGGGGCTTGGGCTGTGCCCCGGCCAGGTGGGGTCCAGCTCACATGCCATGGGGAGGCTTTCAGGGCACTGGGCCTGACCTCCTGGCCTCAGGCGGCACCGGGGAGTCCTTTGGCTTGACGGGGGAAGAGCAGAGGACAAACTTAGATTCCAAACGTGGCTCGTCATCCAAAGTCTATAGAGTAGAGGCACCGCGGGCAGGTCGGGGTCAACACAAAGTGGATCCCTTTGCCATCCAGCCTGGAGATGAGCAGTAACTGCGGCTTTGACTACGTGGAAATCTTGGACGAGTCGTGGAACGGCAGTCGTGTCCTGGGGAAAATCTGCAACGCCACCAAGCGGGTCTTCACGTCTTCTTCCAACAAAATGACTGTCCGATTCCGAAGCGATGGCAGTGTCCAGAACATCGGCTTTTCTGCTTGGTACAACTCCTTTCCAAGCGGTGAGTGCCAGCTCGCCGTGCCGTGAAGGCCCCTGTGTCTGGGCGGACCCCTCTGCTGTGTGCCCTGTGGCCCCCACCTGAAATCAGAGAAGCGTGTCAGCGACTTGGGGCCACAGCTGAGGTCCTCATGCGGCCGAGCCAAGGCAGTGAGGTGTGGGGGCCACAGCAAGTCCTGGGGGCCCTTACCAGGTCAACACCTCCCCATCGGGAGAGTGAGAGGTCTGCGATCTGACATGGGGAGCCCCTTCCCGCATGGCTGAGAGCCATCTGTGTCCTGGTAGGTGTGAGCCTGACACATCTCCCGTGCTGACTTTGGGGGCCTTGGGTCACTCAGCGCAGTGTCGGGGAGCACGGCCATCACTTTTTGTGACTTGTCTTTTAGATGCCAGCTTGAGATTAGTCAGTTCCAACCACTCCTCCGGAGCGTGCGCGGGACGTGTGGAGATCTACCACGGCGGCCGCTGGGGCACGGTGTGTGACGATTCCTGGGATATTCAGGATGCCCAGGTGGTCTGCAGACAGCTGGGGTGCGGACATGCGGTGTCAGCCCCTGGGAATGCCTATTTTGGCTCCGGCTCTGGCCCCATCACCCTGGACGACCTGGGGTGTTCTGGGGCAGAGTCTACTCTCTGGCAGTGCCGGAACCAAGGCTGGTTCTCCCATAACTGTGGCCACCACGAAGACGCTGGAGTCATCTGCTCAGGTACTGCACGATGTCCACGCCCCGCCGGCCCACCCTGACCAGCTGCAAGGGGAGCTGTGGGCTGGACTGACGGCCTCTGTGCTGAGTCCTGGGGGTGGGCTGGGCGGGAGCTTGCTGGGGCAGCCCCTTGGCCCGTCCACTCCAGCAGACTGCAGGGGCGACTCGTTCTTGGTCCACAATGCATGGTGTGTTCTTCTTCCACCATTTGCTCTGTGACCGTGAACAACAAATTAATCTCTCGAAAGTTCTGCTTCCTCTTTTACTAAGAGGAGCCAGTCAGGATGGCCCCTGCTTCCAGTGGTAACTGGAGGAGTAAGTGGGTGAAGCAAGAGAACTAAACTGGGCAGGTGGAGTGTGACGAAGCAGTGCAGGTTCTGCCCCTGGACTGGGGTCCTGATGACCCCCAAGTTGCCCTGGGGCTGGGGAACTCCCAGGGGAAACTCACTTAAACCTCCTCTTGGGGGCAGTGCCTCAGAGGGGCCAGGGAGCCTCGCTGGTGGGCTCTGCATCCCAGGGCGCCTCTGCCTCCCCGGCCCCTCCTTTCAGCACCCGGGTGACCGGTGTTTTCTTCTGTTCCTTTTCAGGATCCCAGCTCACCACCCCCAGTAAGTGCGATTTCTGTTTCACCCCCGCTGCCCCTCCGCTGCTGGTCCGGGTGGTGTGGGCCTGCGGGCTTCCTGCTGCTCATGCGTGTCCCCAGCCCCATGATTCTAGATGTTTGAGGAAAGAAGCAAAGTCCTCCTGGGGAGTGATTATCCTTTAAGGGCCTGTGACTTTCCACAGAGACCCTTTGCGCCCTAGGACCATTGCTCCCACTCGGCTCAGCCCGGAGCACTCTTGGTGTTTGTGAGGAATCCCGTCACTAGGCGGACACGCCCCAGGTGCTCTTGTGTCCCAGTACAAGTATTCTACGCTCGATGTGTTGGAAGAGCTACGTTGCCCGCGCCCTTCTGGCCATTCAGTGTAATCAGAATGTCAGGGCTCCGGGAAGTCCTGCTGGGAGGGAAGGGCTGAACTTTCTCCAGCAAACTAATGAACATGGAGCAAAAGTTTCTACTGAAATGCTAAAATAGCTTCGTTTTCTTTCTAGGTTGGTGGCCCTCGCCCAATCCAACCACTCAGAGTAAGTATCATGTTTTCCCATCTGAACCACAGGACGTTGGTTTCTTAGCCAGGGACTTGGAGATTCATATAATAGACACTAACATACGCAGGACCCTGGCCTGACCCCCACACACTCCCCTACTGCCCATGGGGGCTGCACTGCGCGCCCCCATGGCCTCCATCCCCTGCCCCCACGGCCTTCTCATCTTCCTGGCTGGTGGATGACTTGTCGAACGGGGGCGATCTGCTTCCCTTTCACGCTGGTAGGTTGGGTAGAACCAAAAGGTCAGGTAACAACAAGTGTTGGTGAGGGTGCGGCAGGGCACCCCGCACACCCTGCCAGCAGGAATGTGAAGGTGCGTCCGTTTTGGAAAAGGCCCTGGCGGCTCCTTGCAACGTCAGCCAGGGGCCGCCCTGTGGCTCGCACGCTCTGAGGCGTGCGCCACAGAACTGGGGAGCAGGCGGGAGAGACTGGAACACTGAGGTTCAGAGGCAGCAGCGAGGCTCCCAAAAGACCTGACATGGAAACAGCCCGAACACCCTTGTGGTGAACCATGAAATGGATCTCTCCAGACAGGGGAAGTTAGACAGTGGAAGTTATTTGGCGATAAACAATAAAAGCAAACGTGAGTGAACTTGGAAACCTTGGAAACCTGCTCATTGAAAGAAGCCAGTCACAACCCACCCCCGCAGTGGTCCCTCCACGTGGGCTGCCGGGACAGGCACCTCTGTGGAGAGGGAAGAGACGAGGGTTGCCTGGGAAATGGCATGACCCTCGTGGGTGCATCCCCTAGTGGGTGACAAGAACGCCCTCTCTGTGGCAGCTGAGAAGGGATGACAGGGCCCTCCTGCTTTCTTGGTGCTTTTGCTGCAAGGTGACCTGGCCCGGCCGCCTCTCCCCAGCAATCACTAGGCCCCAGGGGAGGGGAACACAGAGACTCACATCGAGGACCCTAAGGCGGGCAGCCCAGGACCAGGCTCCAGGAGAGGGGACCCGTGAGAGGACAAGTGGGCTGTGTGTGGAGGACAGGCCCCGCACCCGCCTGTAGACCCACCACAGCGGGGCCCCCCTCTTCCGCAGGGCCCTCTTCAAATTGCGGTGGCTTCTTAAACACCACCACGGGGGGATTTTCCAGTCCATCCCACCCGGGCTACTACCCCAACAATGCCTACTGTGTCTGGACAATACAAGTGGGCGCCGGCTACCGTATCAACCTGGGCTTCAACAACATGAGGTAGGTCACCCCAGGCCGGCTGTGGGGGACGGTCCCCCAGGACGTCAGGGGCTTGGGCTGTGCCCCGGCCAGGTGGGGTCCAGCTCACATGCCATGGGGAGGCTTTCAGGGCACTGGGCCTGACCTCCTGGCCTCAGGCGGCACCGGGGAGTCCTTTGGCTTGACGGGGGAAGAGCAGAGGACAAACTTAGATTCCAAACGTGGCTCGTCATCCAAAGTCTATAGAGTAGAGGCACCGCGGGCAGGTCGGGGTCAACACAAAGTGGATCCCTTTGCCATCCAGCCTGGAGATGAGCAGTAACTGCGGCTTTGACTACGTGGAAATCTTGGACGAGTCGTGGAACGGCAGTCGTGTCCTGGGGAAAATCTGCAACGCCACCAAGCGGGTCTTCACGTCTTCTTCCAACAAAATGACTGTCCGATTCCGAAGCGATGGCAGTGTCCAGAACATCGGCTTTTCTGCTTGGTACAACTCCTTTCCAAGCGGTGAGTGCCAGCTCGCCGTGCCGTGAAGGCCCCTGTGTCTGGGCGGACCCCTCTGCTGTGTGCCCTGTGGCCCCCACCTGAAATCAGTGAAGCGCGTCAGTCACTTGGGGCCACAGCTGAGGTCCTCATGCGGCCGAGCCAAGGCAGTGAGGTGTGGGGGCCACAGCAAGTCCTGGGGGCCCTTACCAGGTCAACACCTCCCCATCGGGAGAGTGAGAGGTCTGCGATCTGACATGGGGAGCCCCTTCCCGCATGGCTGAGAGCCATCTGTGTCCTGGTAGGTGTGAGCCTGACACATCTCCCGTGCTGACTTTGGGGGCCTTGGGTCACTCAGCGCAGTGTCGGGGAGCACGGCCATCACTTTTTGTGACTTGTCTTTTAGATGCCAGCTTGAGATTAGTCAGTTCCAACCACTCCTCCGGAGCGTGCGCGGGACGTGTGGAGATCTACCACGGCGGCCGCTGGGGCACGGTGTGTGACGATTCCTGGGATATTCAGGATGCCCAGGTGGTCTGCAGACAGCTGGGGTGCGGACATGCGGTGTCAGCCCCTGGGAATGCCTATTTTGGCTCCGGCTCTGGCCCCATCACCCTGGACGACCTGGGGTGTTCTGGGGCAGAGTCTACTCTCTGGCAGTGCCGGAACCAAGGCTGGTTCTCCCATAACTGTGGCCACCACGAAGACGCTGGAGTCATCTGCTCAGGTACTGCACGATGTCCACGCCCCGCCGGCCCACCCTGACCAGCTGCAAGGGGGAGCTGTGGGCTGGACTGACGGCCTCTGTGCTGAGTCCTGGGGGTGGGCTGGGCGGGAGCTTGCTGGGGCAGCCCCTTGGCCCGTCCACTCCAGCAGACTGCAGGGGCGACTCGTTCTTGGTCCACAATGCATGGTGTGTTCTTCTTCCACCATTTGCTCTGTGACCGTGAACAACAAATTAATCTCTCGAAAGTTCTGCTTCCTCTTTTACTAAGAGGAGCCAGTCAGGATGGCCCCTGCTTCCAGTGGTAACTGGAGGAGTAAGTGGGTGAAGCAAGAGAACTAAACTGGGCAGGTGGAGTGTGACGAAGCAGTGCAGGTTCTGCCCCCTGGACTGGGGTCCTGATGACCCCCAAGTTGCCCTGGGGCTGGGGAACTCCCAGGGGAAACTCACTTAAACCTCCTCTTGGGGGCAGTGCCTCAGAGGGGCCAGGGAGCCTCGCTGGTAGGCTCTGCATCCCAGGGCGCCTCTGCCTCCCCGGCCCCTCCTTTCAGCACCCGGGTGACTGGTGTTTTCTTCTGTCCCTTTTCAGGATCCCAGCTCCCCACCCCCAGTAAGTGCGATTTTTGTCTCACCCCCGCTGGCCCTCCGCTGCTGGTTCCGGGTGGTGTGCGCCTGCGGGCTTCCTGCTGCTCATGCGTGTCCCCAGCCCCAGGAGGAGCGGGCCTCCCTGTGGGCCCCAGGACCATCCACCCACTTTGTCCTTCAGTGGCCTGGCTGGTCTCAGATCTGGCTCTCTGTTCAGTCAACTGTGGAGCTCCTGCCTGCCCCTTGTATGCCCATGAGGCCCTGGCAGTGCAGGCGGGTGGTAGGGGTAGAGGGAGGCTGCTTCTTCCCTGCATCCCAGTAGCCTCTGTCTCAGCAGGAGCAGAGCCTGTCCTGAGTTCTCCAGCCCACTCCTGCTCCTTGAGTTCGCCCCCCCATCCCCACCCTCACCTCTGCGCCAGCAGCTCCTGCCCCTGCAGCAGCTTTAGCTCCCCTTCTGTCCTGGGCACCCTGGCCTTCCTTGGGCAAACAGTGCAATGCTCTTCTCCCGCGCCCTGCCCTGCCAGCATCCTCAGGGCCTCAGGGAGCTGATCCCTGCTCAGGACAACCTCTGGCGCCAGGACCCTCTCCCTTTGTCTAGCCCACTCTCTCCCTCCCCTTCCCTCCCCTCCATTTGCCTGAAGGCTCCCCAGAAGAGCCCTGGGTCTCTGACCCGAGCACCTCTGTCTACCTTTAGGCCTGCACCGTGCCCTGCCCCTTACCTGCCCCGTCTTCTCACGCATCTTGTCTGGTGCCAAACATGTGCTCCGCCCATTTCCTGGACTTTCCTCAAAGGCAGCCTCCCCCTCTCGTACCGGGACCCCCTCTTTTCCCGCTCCTTCTCCAGCCTGTGAGCTCCTTGAGGGCAGGGCCTGGACCCCACTCCTCCCTTGAGTCTGGGGCTGGACAGTTCTGGCTGCGATCATGTGGGGGATGCCAGAAAACTGATGAGCACCTTTTCTTGTCCACAGCTCCTGTTTACAACGTCACCTACCCCAGCGGTGAGTCTCAGCTCCCCGGGAAGCCGGCGCCCTCCCCTTCCCTTCGGTGATGGTGACCCTGGGGAGGGAGGCCTGGGGAGGACGGAGACCAGGAGGCTTCGCTGCGGGAGCCCCGAAGGGCAAACCCACTGAGCCCGGTGCCTTCCGGGCCTCGGCCACCTCCAGGGCGGCTGTGTCCTGGGCCCCCGGGGTCACCTGCATTTCCATTTGCCCCACAGCAAATTACTCCTGCGGAGGCTTCCTGTCCCAGCCCTCGGGGCACTTCACCAGCCCCTTCTACCCGGGGAACTATCCCAACAATGCCAGGTGCTCGTGGAGCATCGAGGTCCCGAACAACTACCTCGTGACGGTCGTCTTCAGAGACGTGCAGTAAGTGTGCGGGCGGGCGGCGGGCACCGGCACAGACTGGGCATCTATTGCTCACGGGTTCAGCTTGTGACCCAGCACAGCGGCACCTGGGGGGGCGCGGCGGGGGGCAGGACGGGAGCCCTGGTTTCCCGTCCCAGTTCCGCCACCATGTGCTGAGTGGCTTCACCGCCCTGAGCCTCGGTCAGCAGAGGGGAGTGAAATGCCAGCCTCCCTCCCCTCGGCGGGCACTGGGGAGGTCCCAGGAGAGCAAGGGGTGAGCGCACTGGGAGGGCTGGCCACGGGAGGCCGCCGTGGGGGCAGTGGCAGGCGCAGGAGGGGTGATCATGGCAAAATCCCCGCAGGAGCCCCGCGGGCGCCCAGCCCTTTCCTCTCCGTGCCCGAGCTGGGGCCAGGCGGAGGTGGCATGGCTGCGGGGAGGGCAGGGGAGCTGCTGCTCCCCCCATGGGGGTGGCAATCCGTGTCTTCAGAGCCACGTGCTTGGTCCAAGGAGGGGCGCCCTGCTGACCAGGCAGGGCACGGAATCTTCTAGTGTCTGGAAAGGGGCGGCCGCAATTCCCGGTCGAAGCCGTTACTGAATAAAATCGTCTTGCCGATTGATTTCTTCTTTTCAAAAATTGTATGGAGGTGACATCGGCTTATAACATGTTAGGGTCCAGGCGGACGGTGTCATCACGTGGCACCTGTGGGTGCTTCAGTGGACCCCACCCGAGGGCCTGCTCCGGGGCTTCAGTTCGCATTTCCCGGACTCCGGTGCACCTGCCGCGCTGTCTTGCTGGGGCCGGCGGGGGTCCGAGCTGCGGGGCCTCCGCCCCCGGGACCCCGTATGCGGCGCCGTCTCGGTAGCGTTTCGTCCGCCCGTGACTGCGCTGGCCCTGGCCCCTGCGGGAACAGGACTCCTCTCTCTGCTTTGCCAGCTCCAGAGAGGTTATTCGACTTGCCCAGGATTTACTTGTTCAATTATTTATTTCTATCACCATGAATTCATGGGTTTTCACCCATGAAAGGGAAACAGTCTTTTTGATGGAAGAAAAAGCCGAAGCAGGACGGCCCCTGGGTTTGCTGGGGCAGAGGGGCTGAGGGAACGTGGGGGCGACCCCACCAGTCAGGACAAGCGCAGGTGCAGGGGCCGTGGGGACGACCCTCTCCATCTCGGGGAACCTGTGGGGTTTCATTGCTCACTTGGCCAGAGCTGCTGCGCTCCCAGCCCCGGCGGCACATGCTGTGGGAGGCGCAGGCTGACTGTGCGCGCATCCCTGCAGGCTGGAGAATGTCTGCAGCTACGACTACATCCAGGTGTTCGACGGCCCCCAGCACAGCTCCCCGCTCCTCGGCCGGGTGTGCAACGGGGCACAGAGCTCCTTCACGTCCTCGTCCAACTTCATGTCCATCCAGTTCGTCAGCGACAGCATCGTCACCAACAGGGGCTTCCAGGCCGACTATTACTCCAGGCCAGCCAACGACAGCACCAGTAAGGCCTCTCGGAGGGTGGGTCAAGAGCAGGGGCACCCCGGGGTCCGTGAATCCGGACGCAAATGCAGCCTTGTCAAGTCCTGGAGGCTCGGCCAAGAGCAGTGGCACTCGGGACCCTAGCTGCCCGGAAACAAGGCCAGGGGCCCCAAGCGGCTGCTGGCTGGAGGACTGGCCTGCTGGGGGGTCAGCAGAGGCGGAGTAGCGGGGAGCAGGGCAAAGCGCCGTCCAGGCTCTCTTGCAGCAGGTCTTTAAGCACGATCTGCTCCATACCTAGAAGACCTTCTTGCCCCCTGTCCCCACAATTAGACCAGAGCGTTACTTCCTTTATGGATAAGGGGTAACTTGGCCGGACATTTCACTCAATCCTGGCTCCATGCCTCCTGAGGGCGATCCTCTGTCCCCTCATCAGGACAGACAGGGGTCGGGAGGTTGGTGGAAGGCAAAGCCCAGCGAGGACCTTCTTTGTCCACCATCGTGATCTCTGCTCCTCTGGGATGGGGCGGGGGGGTGGGTAGCTCCTCATGGAATGGTGAGGCTCAGGGTACAGCCTCACGGCCCCCCTCTCTTCCCTTCCCACCAGAGCTGGTTTGTCTTCCAAACCACATGCAAGCCAGTGTGAGCAGGAGCTACCTCCAGGCCCTAGGCTATTCTCCCAGGGACCTTGTCATTCCCAACTGGAGCGGGAACCGTGAGTGTCAGTCCCAGATAACATCGACCCAGGTGACCTTCCTGATCCCCTACACGGGCTGCGGCACCACCAAGCAGGTAAGCCCAGGGCTCCCCGCTCTACCGCCCAGCGAGCAAGCCTTCTCACGTGACGAGCACAATGCCCTGGAGCTCCGGGGCACGTAATCCTGGTGTCACCAACATGTAGCCAGGCAAAAACAGGTCACATGTGCACACTGGTGCTGTGGCAGCTGGGGCTGCCCCCAAGTCTCAGGGGGAGCAGGAGGATAGCACAGCCAGCACTGAGGCCACCAGACGGGCCACCCCATGTCGGCAATGGCAAGAGCACCCCCCAGGAGTAGCTCCAGGGCTGGGGGGCCTGGGGCTTGTGCAGTTCTGGGGTTGAGGGGGTGGACGCCTCGCTCAGCGGTGCTTACAGGCAGGACAAGTAGCTGATGCGTCTGCGACACTGCGCGTTACATGCTGCATCCCTTCCAGATGAGCAGGTGACTGATGGTGAACGTAGTGAATTAATTTTTATTGCATGTGGGGAAAGAGGAGAGCTTGACAAGTAACTCTGGGCCACGGGCCGCCCTGTCCGCCCTCCCAGGGCCGCCAGAGGGCGCGGCGGTCACCCCTGTGTGTACGTCTCAGGTGTGCACCCTTCTGAGGCCGCAGAACAGCAGGGTCACCACCGTCCATGCCGCCCAGCTCCACTCGAGTGACCTTCCCATCTGATTTACTTGACCCCAGCCGCTTCCCTTCTGCTAACCACTAATTGGTCTCTTAGTCTAAAAATTTATTTTTTGTTTTATTTAGTTGATTGGCTTGGTGGGTGTGTATAGCAGAGGCAGGCAAAATCACGTTAAAAGAATTTTTATTTATTTACTCAAAGATGGAGACCGAGGTACATGAATTTTCATTTAAACTCAGAAATACGTCTTATGATCAGGAAATAAACCTGCGCTCTGTGCTCATCAGTTGGCGTGGATTCAGGTTTGGCTCAACCCCAGGAGCCACGGGCAAGCGTGGCTAAGGAAGCGCTGTCGTGCTCATGTTCTCGGCTGCACGGAAGGCTCCTCAGCTTATCCGTGAAAGAATAACATGATACTTCAGAGGCTTATGTGACAGCCAGTGCCCCCTAAGTAGAAAGCAAAAACCGATTTTTAGAGACGGTAAAGGCAGAAAAGAGACGGCACTGTGGACAGAGCGTGGGGACTCTGGGTCCTGCAGGACCTGAGTCCAAAGTGCGGGTTCTGGCGCCCCCTGCAGGCCAGGTCGGGAGCTGCGGCCCTGGAGGGCAGACCTGACGCCGGTGACCCAGGGCTGGCAAAACCACCCTGAGTTACTTGTCAAGCTCTCCTCTTTCCCCACATTTTTCTGGAAAGGGTGCATCCAGATACAGTTCTGCAGCTGCAGACCTGAAGGGAAAACCTCTCAAAAACACACCATTCTGAAGAAGAAACAGATCTAGGTTGTACCTGTGGGAAGTTCAGAAGGGAGCTGGGCTAATGCCCCGCCAGGGAGGGGCACGGGGAAGGAGGCCGTCTCCTCGTTACTCTGAATGCCCGCCCAGTCGTGTGGCCAGGCGGCGGGCCTGTGTCATCTCTGGTTGCGGGAGGGTCCTGCAGCCTTGGACTCTGCCCTCTCAGGCCACCCCAAATCAGCCGCGGGCTCCCTTCGCCTGGCCTTTGCCTGACTCTGCCCTCCTGCTGTGTCTCCAGGTGAATAACGACACCATCGCCTACTCCAACTTACTCATAGCATCGGTTTCAAGAGGCATCATCAACCGCAAGAAGGACCTGCACATCCACGTCAGCTGCAAGATGCTGGAGGACACCTGGGTGGACACCATGTACATCAGCAACGGCACCCTGGAGCGCGCAGCCATCCAGTACAGCAACTTCGATGTCAACATCTCCTTCTTCACGTCCGCCTCATTCCTGTACCCCGTGACCAGCAGCCCCTACTACGTGAGCCTGGACCAGAACCTGTACCTGCAGGCTGAGATCATGAACTCGGACATGGCCCTGTCCCTGTTTGTGGACACCTGCATAGCGTCGCCGTACGAAAACGACTTTACATCCTTGACTTACGACCTGATCCGGAGCGGGTAAGGCGGCCCTTTGCAGGTGGATGTGAGCCTCAACCTGGCCATTCACATACACGTTGCCCCAGAGGCCCGCGGAGTGTAGATTTGGGTCTTAGTGGCTCAAGCTTAATCAGCCAGATCACCACCTCCAGATGCTACACAGGTGCTGGGGGTCTAGAGAATCGAACCACCAGTGGCCCCCAGCAGGCTAGTTGTAAACTGGGCTAACCCCTAGATGACTGAACCCCTGGCAAGCCTTCATGTTAAGCAGGTGTGCATGCCGTGGGTGCGGGGTGAGACAGCACTGGCGTTCCCAGCACACACCTCCAGGACTCGCCCCACTGCGCCCCCAGGGCAGCATCTCCACCCACCTGGTGGCCATAGTGACGCCCACTAACACTGAAAACAGCACCTCTCTGGCAAGCTTGACTCTGCATCGGTTTGGTAAATTGGGGTCACAGCTCGTTGAGTTCACACCTGGTGTGGCTGGTTCCATTCACAGCAGCCCCCTTAGCAGCAAAGATGAGGGAGAAGTCTCCCCCAGACCCCCATTCCGTGGGAACCTATGTCAAAGGGTTGAGATTAGTGAAATGAAGGAGCAGTTTGGCTCTTGCCTGCTGCAAGATTCTTTTTGATGCCATACACACACTGGCATGTATGTCACGGTGCGAACTTCTGGGGGGAGGGGCCGTGCACGCGGAAGAGTTGAGTCCCCACTGCACCTGGAGCACGTGGGCTGTCGGCTACACCTGCCCACCAACCAGCTCCCTCACCTGGGTGCCCATGAGAGCAACATGGGGCTTCAAACACACTGTGCCCAAGCGCCACCTGTGTCCTCCTGTCTGGCCTGGGTGGGGCTTGATATTCTGATGCCTTGGCGGGCTGTGTGAGAAGTGCAGTTCCTGCCCTGGGCAGCTTCAGATACCCCAACCTCAGTTGCATCTGTCCCACCTCCCGGTGAGTCCCTGAGCTCTTCCACCCCTACCCTTGCTGCTAAGGGGCTGGTGTGGGAAACAGTTGGCATTTGAGAGAAGGTGAGTTGAGAGTGGGCGAAGGAAGCTCCAAAGACAGAAGGGAGATGGTGCCGGGCCATGGGCCACACCTGCAGGCAGAGTCAGGCTGCCTGGTGACTGCTCCTGTGCACCCGCAAAATGCCTACCTGTTACCGCCAATGAGTTCTCCCACCCACCCAAGCCCCAGACAAGCCCAGGAGCCACATTGAATCGAGATTCTAGCAGCAGAGGGCTCCGCTTATTGGCCAGGGAGTGGCAAGGAGGGCGCGTGCTCTGAAGGCCTCTCTGGCCCTGGGGAGGGGCAGGCGCTGCTGTGGGGAGGACCAGGGCAGGGGAGTGGCGACAGGCCTGCGGGATTCCAGAGAAACGGGCAGGGATTCAGGGACCTGCAATCATGTCCATTGCCTTCCCAGCACGGTCCTGGCGGGTCCGTCCTGCGCGGGGGGCGTCTTCTCACCGTGGCGACGAGGCTGAGGCTTGGCCTTGTCTTACTTCTCCTCCATCTTGGTCTCAGCAGGTTTTGCCTGGTTTTCTGGTTTTGTCAGCAAGAAAAGATAAACAGGAGCAGAGCCAGGAGGAGCAGGGCCAGGAGGAGCAGGGCCAGGACAAGGAGCTTGTGGCTCCCAGGCCCAGTGATGCCCCAACTCTGCTCTTTGTCTGACACAGCTGTGTGTGGGTTGTGGGAGCAGGGCCCCCCGCTGGGGTGCAGCAGGAGATGCACCCTCACCCATGTCTTAGTAAAATTTCTTTCAGAGGATTCTTGGGTGGTTTCCTCCCCACAGCAGCGGTGAGGCAGCTGAGGGAACGAGGAGGTGGTTGGCATGGCGGGAGCGTGGCTGCGTCCTTGCTGCTGCTGGGCCTGAGCTGGGGCGGGCTGTGTGGAAGGCCTCTGGGGCCTCGGCGAGCGCTAGCGGGTCGTCCTCTCCTTCCAGGTGCGTGAAGGACGAGACCTTCCGCCCCATCCAGCCGCCGGCCCCCCGCATCGTCCGCTTCAGCTTCAGCTCCTTCCACTTCCTGAACCGCTTTCCCTCGGTGTACCTGAAGTGTAAGATGGTGGTGTGCCGGGCCTACGACTACTCCTCCCGCTGCTACCGCGGCTGCGTGATGAGGTCCAAGAGGGACGTGCACCCCTACCAAGAGAAGGTGGATGTTGTCCTGGGGCCCATCAAGCTGCAAACCGCAGAGCACGCCCACAAGAGGAGCTTGGGTAGGTGGCCCGGGCAGACAGGCCCCCAGCCCGCAGGGACACTCTGGTGGTGCCACGCCCATCCCAGATCAAGCACCTGCTGTGTGCCCGGCAGGCTTGCCCCTGGGTGATGCAGGCTTAACCTGGACCGGGTTCTCCCACAGCTGCCTGTTCTCGGGGGCCCAAGCTAGGTCCCGAGAGCCCAGGCTGGGTCACGAGAGCTCTGACCTGGGACACAGGCACCCCTTTATCCTCTGGGCTCTGAACCCCCACCTCCTACTGAAAAGGACGGTGTTGATAGGGTCAGAAGTCCCTCGGGGCAGGTGGAGGTTGCAGGAATCACGTTGGTCAGCAACCTGGGCCTTGGCCTACAGCCTGGGCCTCAGCCTGGTGCAGGCCCTGGCGGCCCTCCAAGGTGGCTAGGTTGCTCTGGTTACCGCCACCCTCTTAGGAACAGCCATGATAGCATCATTACTCTTGCTGATGATACCCACAAATGGTAGTCCTGGGGGTGACAGACTGGGAGTGGGGGTGCCTGCTCACGGGGTCCATGCGAGACCAGCCGGCATTTCCTCCCCCAGGAGGGATGGTATTTCCTGCGGTGGTGTTTCTAGGGGGGTGGAGGAGGACACGTTTGCAGAGACCTCCAGGATGGCTGCAGGTCCAGGCCGGGATCAGGCCCCCAGACGTGGCTTTGGTGACAGGGGTATGGGTGGAGGTGGTCACAAGCCAACCGATCACCCCAGGGGTCCAGGAACACCTTGCCAGCCCCTGCCTTGTGCCATGTTTGGCCATCCACATCCCATGTTTGGCCATCCACAGGCCAGCAATTCGGGCAATTACTCTCTCCATGCATATTTGTTAAAGGCTGATTTGGTGCCAAGAGACAAATAACTAAAAACAAAACCAGACCAAACTTCCACCCCGCGGAGCTCACATTCCAGCGAGGGGATGCAATTCAGAAATTAGTCAGTGCTTGGACTTTCTGATGGGGTCCCAGCTCCAGGAGGGGACAGGGCGGGCAGGCCCGGGGCGTCCCATGGGCCCTTCACCTCTTCCCCTCCTCCCCTCCTGCTGGCTCTGTGGGAGCCCCTGCCCGGGACTCTCGCACCCATTTCCCCACCAGTCTCATATGCCCCAGCTCTGTCCCCCTGGCCAGAGTGATGTCGCAGGACCCAGGCCGCTTCCCGCCCCGAGGCCTGCCCTGTGGCCCTGGGCTGGCAAGACGCTGCCTCTCCTGGACTCTGGGATCGGGCCTTAGTTTCCCATTCTGATTTCTCTCCTCTTTTTCTCCTCCCACCAGACAATTAGTTCTGACCGCCGCCAACCCGCCATGGACCACCCGCACGACTTGTCTCTCCGCTGCATCTCGCTGGCTCCTCCTGTCGACTGTGTGATTCTGGCTCCCTGGCCCTCCCAGAGCTGCCGGTGGCTGCGTGGGGTCCGGCCCATGTCTAGGGAACTTGAGCAGCACCATGGGTTCTTCCTGGTCGTGGGCCTGGCGTGGCGGCCTTTGCCCTGGGAGGAGCACCACACCGCCTGAGCACTGAGTGTGGAGCCAGGAGAACACACGCTCTGATCCCCCAGTGAGGGAGGAGAACGGAGACCCCAGAATGCTGAATCCTGGTCGCTTTGCCCAGGTGCACGGTGCGATGGGGTGAGGTGGGTGCCGACGGTGGTGCCAGGTCTTCCCAGAGACACAGGCTGGGCTTGGGGTCAGACGTCAGGGAGGCGTGGGACAGGATGTGGATCTTGTGCGCAGACGTGACCACACACTCGTGACAGCGGAGCTCTCTCTGGGTGGAGTTTTTCTCCTGGCCTCTTATAAACTGGCCTGTTAGGCCTCTAGCACTCCTCTTAGCCTTTCCTTCTGTAGGATGAGCTGAATAAAGACCTTTTTTGCAAGAGTTGGTGGTCAGTGTTTCTTCGACTCGCTTAACTGGACCCTTTCAAATTCGTAGGGCTAGCTTCCCCAAGGAATGATAGAAGCCAGAGGACTCTGCTCTGTGGCTTCCAGAAGCTTCTAGGGAGTAGGAAAGGTGCCCCCTATTGTCCTTATCATGTCTTCATTCTGCCCAGAGCAGGAAATGCAGAAAAGGCTGAAGAGCAGCCTGCTCAGGGCACGGTGGTGGGAAATGCGAGATTATGGGCCTTTCCTCCTGGACGCTGCTCTTCTGGGGAGGGGGGAGCTTCACGTCTAGAACGTGGGCTGGGTGGTGCTAGATGGGCCCCCCGGGCCCCTCGGCCTCACTGCGGTGGACTGGGCAGTGTGCTTGAGGTCTCTGTGGGGCTTGTGGAAAATGGGGAAAATTCAGACTCTGGGCCACAGATCAGGCATTTGCAAACCGCCCTGGGAATGCCAGTGTTTGTGTCTCTGAGACAGGCCGAGGGCCCTGCCCTGAGGGGGCTGCTGAGCTGAGCGTAACTCCAAAGGTGATTTGCACAGGAGAGACCGAAGTTGCAGGGGAAGCCCCAGAGAGTCCTAGCAGTGCTTTGGCCACAGCTGCCAGCCAACAGGAGCTGCCTGAGAACTCAGAAGCAGCTGCGGCCTTGCGCCTCCTGGGATCTTTGCTTTCCTTGGGAATGTGCCCCACCCTGCCCCCTGATGGGTGCTGCTGTGTCCAGACCTACTCCCTGCCCCTTCAAGACTAGCTCAGAGGCCACCCACCCTCAGCTCCACCCTTACAGGAACACTGCCCCCCCCCCCCAGACCTCTACCCCCATGGCAAGGCCCGCCACAGCCCCAGTCCTGAGCTCTCTCCTGGGCACGGAGCCTGCTGCAGGCCTCCTCAGGGGAGCGGCCCAGTGCCCTCCCACTCACAGGCCTGTCACCCATGTGGACACCAGGGGGTGCCACTTTGATTTTGGGAACAGTTGCTTTGTTTCAGTTGGGATCCAGCAGTTGTCCCAGGAAGCCGCCTGCAGTTTCCCCCTCTGATTAAGAACTCCTGGGGGGCCTCCCCGGTGGCGCAGCGGTTGAGCGCTGGGTTGCGAAGCTGCCTGCAGCCTCTGCAGCGCCAGTTCGATCCCCGGCTGCTCCCCGGCAGCCGGATGAGGGTCCCACATGGCACGCAGAGCTCTCCTGCCGCCCGCTGCTCCCCTCAGCAGTGTACTTCGGTCCCTCTGCCTGCTCTGCTCCCCGCTCTGGCTCTGGTGAATTCTCTCACCTTCCCGCGCTTCTGACTGTACCCAGTGCATGTATAAAACAAACAAACAAGTAAGTAAGTAAATAAGTAAGTAAGTAAATAAATAAATAAAAACATGCCTCTATAAAAAAAAATAATAATAATAAAAAAAGAGTTCCCTTTAAAAAAAAAAAAAGAACTCCTGGGCCCTCCTGGTGGTACACTGGGTTAAGTCTCAGGGCTATCAAGCTATCAGTAGCCACTGCAGCACGAGATCGATCCCTGGCCAGGGAGCTGGCCCACATGGCGCAGCAGACCTCTCCTGTCTCCCCGCTGCTCCCCTCAGCAGTGTATTTCAGTAGATCTGCCTGTTCTGCTCCCCACTCTGTCTCTGGTAAATCCTCTCGCCACCCCACCCCCCTCACCTCTGGCCTGCACCCCAGTTCTTGTATGCATAAAGAAAATAAATTAAAAAATAAAGAACTCCTGTGAGTCAGCCATCCCTGCCCCCATTTTTAAAGAAACAGAATTCTATTGTGTTCAACAACAGAGGGCTTGGTCACTCCCTGCTGGTCCTGTGCCTCCACAGGTGGAGCCAGGAGATCTCATGCCGCCCCCCACTGCACCCCCACAGGCTCGAGGACCCCTGGAATGTTGGAATGAGGTTCTTCCCTGAATGGGGGCTCAGTCCTGAACAGGGCTGATGGCATCAGCAGCCTTTCCTACTCAGACAGTCTTGGCCCATGGCCACGGGCCGCGGGGGCCATGGGTTTGGCCCGAGTGTCCTCCCGGCCGGCTGTGTTGTCAGGGACACGGGTGTTGTGTGTGAGCTCCTGGAGAGGCGAGCAGAAGCCGAGCAGAGGCGATGGAGGGAGACGTCAGCTGAGAGCTGGGGGGAATGAGAGCCTGCAGCTTTGGAAAATTTGCAAGTCTCTTTAGTGTTATGCAACTTTAAATTGTGGCAGCTTACAATGAAATAAACCGCGTTCATACTGGGACGTACATGTGCAAGAACATTACTTTATAATCATGCAACTTGTAATTATCAGCTACTTGCCTCCTGTACCTGTCGAGTGGAAACTGTAAGGCGAGCAGCTACTCGGGCCTTCCCAGCCCTGTGTGGGGCATCACGTTGGTGGCTTAAAAAGGGCCAGTCAGGACCCAAGTGCATGACCTTCCCCCGCTGCAGCTCCGGGAGGCCCCAGCTGAGCACAGGGGCGCAGGGACGGGGGACACAGACACATGGGGCTCTCTGGGGCTCTGATTACATCTGCCCTTTCTCCAGTGTCACCGCAGGTGGCTCTGTTGGTTCCGGGCTCGGGGCAGGGACAGTCACGTGTAAGCCACGGAGAAGCCCCTGGGAGCGCAGAGGAGAGCGTGGGCTCGGAGGACAGGGCCCGTCAGAGAGGGGGCGGGGGACACAGACTCACAGAACATTTTCATCCCAAATAAAGTTCTGGACCCACTAGGTGGTCGAGTCTGCTCCCCCCTCCCCCGACTCTGGCAGCCACGCCGTCTCCGTGGATTTACCAGACGGTGACGATTGTTTAAAGAACAAACCCGCAAACGCTGGCGATGAGCAAAGGTAGCACTGAAGGCAAAACTTCAATCATCCAAAAATAATAATTTTTCTTGAAGTAAGTTCAGACTTAGAGAAAAGTCGTGAGGTGGCCACGGGGAGCCCTCTGACGTCGCCAAAGCGGGTCCCCCGTCGGCCTCTGGCGCCTGCTCCCTCTGGCCCGCGCCATCTCCACTTCGTGTCATAAAGCCTTTCATCCCCCTCGACATTTGTCCCATCAGTCTCCCCACAGGGATGGCTTCTTCAGCTGCCCTCAGGGGGCCCCACCCCGCGCCCCACATGCCTGGGGTCCCCAGTCAGCTGCCTCCACACCCACGCTGGGCCTGCTCCCCCCAGGCGCCCCGTGGCCCTGGCGGGGATGGCCGCACCTCCCCCCGCCCGCGAGCGCCCCACGTGGACGCTGCGCCTGAGCCCGGGGAGGGGAGGGAAGGATTGGAGAAGAGAAGGGAAGAGTTTCCAGCTTTATTTAAAACGAAGAAAGGTAACTTGCTACAGCTCCACACACCCGCCGGGTACTGCAAGGGGCCTGCTGAAGGCTAGAAATGCGTTGCCGGGAGCCACGTTTCTGTCAGTTCCAGACCAGGCCACACGGCCCACGCGGGGGCTGAGACTGGGGGCGAAACCTGCGTGGCGGGGGCGGCTCCGACAAGCTGCTGGGGACTGGGGTGCCCACGAGGTGCAGCAGGTGTCTGGGGTGACAGACACGGGGTGATGGCGCCTCAATAATGAGGGGTGGCCAGCTGCCCAAAGACCCCAGGGCTGAGGGAGCCAGGCATTTCCCATCACCCTTTCTTTAAGGGCGGAGGACGGGACTAGTCCGACTTTGACCTTACTTGCCTTTCGTTCTTCTCAAAGACTGATCTTTGATGTGACTGTTCTTGCCACGAAGGCGCAGCTCAGGCCAGGCCGGGAGCAGACGCGTGTAACGGACCCTTCAGTGTGTCCTGGTGGCTTCTCCCTCCGCGTCCGGCCTCAACCAGGGAGGCTCTGCCAGTTCCCGTGAGGGAGATGAACGGCCACTGGCTGCGAGCACGAGGATGGGCTCAGGCCTTGAAGGGTACGAGGCGGAGTGGCGACGACCCCAGGTCAACTCGTCCCCGGGAAGGGCAGAGGGACGCTCCTCTTGTCTCTGTGTGTTATGGAAACCAAGTTTAGGGTTCTGGGCCCCATCTGCCAGGTGGAAGGTAAAACCAGGGTGTAGGGTAAATAAAAGGTATCCGGCTTTTCTGCCCTCTCGCCATTGGGGTAGATGAGGTCCCGAATGCACACCTGATGGCGGCACCTGGGGTAGGGCATGGGCCTGCATAAGTGGGTTCACCTGGGCTGAGACTGGGCTTATAAGGGCGGCGTCACGGGGACGCCAGCAGAGCGGGAAGAGCAGCAGAACGAAAGAGTGAAGGGAGCAGAGAAGCAGAGGCCACAAGAGAAGGCCAGAGAGCCCAGAAGGAGTGAAGCTACGCCAGGGGCCGGGAGGCTGGTAGGCACCCCTGGCACCCCTGGCACCCCTGCCTGCCATGTACCTGGTAAACTCCCAATAAAACCCTGAAAAAGCCACTGAGGGCTCCAGGACTCTCTCCTTCACCCGTCTGCTTGAATCACAGAGATCCTGCCCTGCGGCCATCCTTGCCACTACACAGCATGCCTGCACACGATGGGACCCCCCCACCCCCGCTGTGCCTGTTGTCCCAGGGAACGCTGGCAAATGTTGGCTGAATGTTACTCTCAAAGGGCCTGCAAGACAAGTGACTGCTCTCCCCAAATTCCTGTGTTGCCATTCCGGAGCCCCGGTGGGCTTGCAGGAGATGTGGAAGCCTCCTGCACCCCAAGTGGAGAGGAGGTTCTCTTGCAGAGGCAGGAGGGTCCTGGGGTGACCTGCCACTCCCGAAGAGTGACACTTTCCTTCCCTTTTCTGCACCAGGCCCGGCGCTACCAGGAGCAAAGCTGGTGTGAACATGGCCAGTCCCAGAGGGAGAGGCTGCCAGAGGGAGATGCTTAAGCACAGACGCCTGCCCTCCCCTGCCCCCAGCGCCTCACCTGTGCAAAAGAACAGGCGAATACTGTGCACGGATCCCCAGGACCTGCGTCTCTGGGAGGTCTTGTGCAGGTGTTGGTGGTAACTCGAATCTTCTCTGAACATTACCAGCATTTCGTACTCCAGAGAGTCTGCCCACCCAGCGCCCTCCTTTGATTGGCACTGTGATGGCGACGTGCAGGTAGGAAGGTGGGGGAGGGTGACGCTTGCACCCCTTCCCTTATCCACGCCTGTCTGTGCTATTTCTTTTCCAGTGACTCTTTGCGTGTCAAATAAGGTTGGGTTGAGGTTCTACTGAGCCATCGTGGGGGGCAGAGAGGCAGGGTGACCCAGTGATCCCCAGGAATAAGCACATGACCTGTAACATAGGTTTGGGGAAACTGGATTTGAAAACTCCTGTTGAAAATCTACCTGCCATCTTGATGGGCATCTAGATCTCAGAATATACAATTTCTTCAAAAATTCTCATTATTATCTCTTTGGATTTTGTAGTGACTATTTGAAAATGTGTCTTGTCCATGTTAAATACAGAGTGTAGACTAGATGCCCTCTGTAAATATACATGCATACTAATATACACATAACCCTGGGCAAGCTGGCCACAGACCTTCAGATTCTTGATCTTTCTCATCAGTGTTTAGCTGAACTTTTCACTTACCAATTGGAAGTAAAATGTTGTTAAATGAAATCACTTAAGCAAACTCTTTGGCTGGTCCCTGCCCTCTGGCTCTGACCTTTGACTCACACCTGCCCACAGCCTCACCTCCTGCACATTCTAGCCACCTCCCCGTAGGGAATTTCCATTCTCCTGCCCTGTGAGAGCCTGGGCTCTCAGCCTCCTACTTGGTGAAATTTCTTTGAATAAGTCTCTTTTCCTAAATCTCAAGAAGAGAATTTTGGCGTCCTTGGCATCATTTATGTAGGTTTTAATGGAAAACGAGGCAAAGAAGCCGGAAGGGAGACAGCAACCGGAGCCCCCTCCCCCAGAGTGATGCTGCCTCCACTTTTTTTTTATTTTAAAGATTTATTTATTTATGCATACAAGAGCTGGGGTACAGGCCAGAGATGTGGGGGGGTGAGAGGATTCCCCAGAGATAGAGTGGGGAACAGAAGAGGCAGAAGGACCGAAATACAGGGCTGAGGGGAGCAGTGGGGAGTCAGGAGAGGTCTGCTGCGCCATGTGGTTTCTCCCTGGCCGGCACAGGGATCAAACTCGTGCTGCAGAGGCTGTGGATTGCTTCATAGTGCCCTGCTTAACCCCTTGTGCCACCAGGGAGGCCCGCCTCCACTTTTTATCCCCTCCCTCCTCGGTACAGGTATGCACACTTGCGTGCACACACACATACACACACACACGCATCCATGCTCAGGTGTCCACAGTCAGGCCCACGTGCCCCACACCCACATGCTGTCTACATTAACAAGATCAAGCCACAGAGGCCAGTGGCGTGAAAAGCCTGATGGACTCCATTTACCCTCTGAGGCAGGAAGGAGGAGCTGACCCCTTGGGAAGGCCGGGGCGGTAGGTGAGGGTCGGAACTGAGAGCAAAGTTTCCTGAGAAAAAGAAGCCTCAGCAGCTAGGCTTTGTCTGGAAGCCCCTGGAGGTCAGGTCCCAAAAGAAAACGAGGAAGGAGTGTGCCAGGGCCTGAGCTGCAGGGGTGCAAGGACCAGGACACTCGCTTACCACGGGGTGAATACCGCTTTAGTCATCCCGAGAGGCAGCTCTGCACAAGCTCTCTCTCCACATCCCTAGGAAGCAGGTCTCCGCCCCATCTCTGGGGACGGAACCCTGTGATATTAAATCCTGATTCATCAGCATCAGGTCTCCAGGGAATTCAGCCACGCGTAAAAGGTTCCGATTCGTTAAACCCGTGATGCACCGCTCCCGCTTCGAGGGCAGGAAAGGCCTCCGGTCACCTAGACAGCAGGTTAGCGGTTTCTTTGGTTCTCCTGCCTTGAAAATCACCTTCATGTTTGTGTTTTGTCTTTCTGTGCTTTCCTCCTCTGCCTGGTCCTCCTCCTCTTGCTTGGCCTCCTCGACGGGAGCAGCGTCACCCCCCTCCTCCTCTTCCCGGGCGTGGCCCTGTGCCTCTGGGCGCTGGCTCTCTCCAGGCAGGGGCCACGGATCCCTGCACTTTTCCATGCTGGGCAAAATGTGCGCACTTCGCAGGCCCCGGGCGAGCTGCATCCTTTCTACGTGTCTGCTGACGGTGAGCCTCTCTCGCGGCGGCATCTGGAAGTCCTCTGTGGCCACCGTCACTTTCGCCGTCCATATTTTCTCCAGAGGCCCGTCACAGGTGCAGGAGGGGGGGTGTTGCCTCTTGTATTCCATGGCCCGTTTGTAATCTGAGGACAGCAGGCGGAGCTCTTTGAGCATCAGCCTCTCTTCCTCTTGCTTGTACTTCAGAAACCTCCTTGCTGCGATGGTGTGAACGCCCCCTAGACGCTGACAACAGGGCGGGCGTTAAGGCCTCCATGGGACAGGACCGGGGTCCCCACAGATAGAATTAGCGGTGGCACCTTCTTCCCCCATTGCTGAGTGCTTTGAGCCCCCATAGAGGGAAAGAGGGCAGACCTCGGGGATCAGACAAGCCAGGGTCCAAATTCTGACCCTCCTTAGTTACTATGGATTTGGAAAAATATAATTGACCTGACAGGGCCCCTGTGGGCGCTGGGTGAGGGCTCAAGACATGGCAGCTTCTGTCCCTTGTTGTCACTTATAATTAAATTTCCAATTGGGATTTTTGAAATGAGAGTATTTTGCTCTGCAGGGGCGGAAACCACGAGCAGACTCAGCCAACACGGGGCCGCTGTTTGGGAAACTTCCACCCCCATCCTGAGGTTTCGCCTCCGGCTCCCCCCTTGCCTAACCAACTGGCTTCCCTGGGGGGCCCCCCAGTGTGCACGCTTCAGGGCACTTACTAATATCTCCTTCTCCAAGGGGGAGTATTTCCCGAGGGCGATGTGTTGGTCTGGCTTCTGCTGTCTGGACCATATCCTGGAAGGCAGGGAAGTAAGCGAGTTAGAAATCCAGGAAATGTTTCCTCTTTTCCCCTCTTGCAGCGGGAAACCTCACGTTGGGAGAGTCTAGTTGTTCCGGCCAGACCACCCAGCCTCTAGGTGCTTCTGCAGCCTGGATGGGCTCCTGTGGGGTGGATGGAGACAGCTGGATGCGCAGGGCACCCTCACCTCAAGGGCGAAGCGGAGCACAGGCCCACCTGGCAGCACTGCAGGTTTCTATCCTGCAAGTTATCGCTTGCGTGCAGTACTTTGAGGGACATCCTATGCTTATCTGACTCCTCTTCAGGGCTCCTTCCTTGGGCCCTTTGATCTTTAGCCTCCTGCTTTCTGGTTTTCTGATAGAAAGTCTCCCATTCTCTGATCATAGTGTGGCTGTTGGCTAGAATGGGCATGTGACTGCTGGGAGCTTCCTCTAATTCAGTTTATTGGTGACTGCAGGGACAGTCAAGGGCCTTCTTGCATCATAGCTGGCCTACTTGGGAGCTATTATGAAGTCGAATTTAAGGCATCAGGATGATCCTCTGGGGGAAATGAGCCCACACTGCAGCTCGTGGGCTGGAGTCAGAGGGCTGGGCTGGGCGGGGCGGGGAGGGCGTGGATCACAGCCAGAGGAGCTGAATCTCGGTCCCTCCTTGCTGATAGCGTCTATGCCCTGGGCTTAGACTACTCCAGTGTGGTCATGGCCATGAGTTACATTTGAACTGAGGAGAGGGAGGGAGAGTGGAGAGTCGTTGTGAGACCAGGACCCTGGAATGGCCGGGTTAGTGAGCCTCAGGCCAGTGGGGGCATGGACCAGGCCTCTGTTGCCCTGCACTGGCCATCTCCGGTGTGTCTCTCCCTGCCAACCGCGGGGGATCTGGGCTTGACTTGATGGTTCTAATGAAGAAGTGACAGCTACACAGTTCACGGAAGACAAACCTGGCAGGCGGGGGTGTGGGTCTCCACAAGCAAGAAACAGCAAAGGGGCAGAGTGGGGGAGAGCCTGGTACGTCCAGGAGCTGGGAGCAGTGGGTCCTGAGGGGGAGACGTGGTGGGGCAGCGGCCAGACCGAAGGCTTGGTGCCTTTCCCTGCGGGGAGGGCAACACGGACGGCACCTCCCTTGGAAGGAGGTTGATCTGCCACAGCTTGATTTTTTAAAACAATTTCATGGAGGTGTATTTCACATACCAAAAATTTCACCTGTTTTAATAGGCAACCCGGTGACTTTTAGTAAATATATACCAAGTTTTGTGCAACTGTCTCTCTAGTCCGGTTCTGGAATTTTGCTAGCATCGCCCCAAACGATCCCTCGTGCCCACGTACACCTGTTCCCCTGGGAGAAACAAGACTCCTGGTCTACTTTCTATGGCTCCAGATTTGCCTTCAAATGTTTCCTCTTAAAACAATCAACAATCCTGTCCTTTCTAGCTTTCGGTCACCCCTCCTCCTTGGCCTTTGGTGGTAGAATCGGGGTCTTGTCTCTGTCACCGCTAGGTCCAGGCCCTACGACACCTGCCTCCTTCCCACAGAGCCGGAAGTGCCTGCCCGAGCTGTAGCTGGGATAAAGCCCTAGCTCACCAGGCTTAATGGTCCCTCTTGAGAATCGGGCTGGAGATCCTCTTAACTCCCCTTCGGCAAACACAGAAATGGCTTAGTCGTTCTGAGACTCCATCAGATTACGAAGGGAGGGTGTGAACTGTGGTTTCCCTTATCTCTAAATAACAACTTCCTGTATTAGCCTGGCATGAAGATGGCGCCTGGCAAACCCAACTGTGATTCGAGACCACAGCATTCCAGGCAGACAAGAAGATGGGCCTCCTCTTTGTAACAGGAACACGCCCCCGCCTGTCAGTGGCAGAGGGACCCGGAGGAGGGATGGCTTGGGACAGGACGCATGGGTTAGTCAGAATCGGGGCTCCATCCTTGTCTTGTGGCCCCTGACCCCTGATTCAGCTCGGCCCACTCTCTGGGAAGAAAACTCCCACAAAGAGAATGTGAGAAAAAAAAGTGGCCTCCCAGGAGGACCCTCACGGGGATGGGGGTGGGCAGGCGTCCCTGGCTCCCCACCTACTCACTCTCCCAAGGTGGTGCCTCTCAGTTTAGCAGACAAAGAAGCCAGTGTCCTGGGGAAAGTTTCAATGATTTGCCCAAGGTCACAGTATTTAAAATTAGAAAAAAGAAAACAAAATGAAAACCCACCAATCTCCATATAATCTGAGGTTAGATGCCCCAGGAAATGGCGTGGCGCTGGAGGTATAAATCACTCTGATAAGGAGATTGAAAGTGAATATGACACTGGGGAAATTCACAAGGGTGTTTACCGAGAGGCCAGGCCGGGCAGTGCTGACCACCCTGACGTGGCAGGCTGGGTGTGAAGTAAGAAAGCCACAAAATTAGCAGGAACAAGGACTGATATTCATGGAGCATTTATTATAGGCAGGCTCCAGTCTGTGATTATGCATGCCTTGACTCATTTAAATATACATTCATATTTAAAGATGTGCTAATCACATTTCTAATCTAATCAGCTTCCAAAACACCAGATTGATAGCTTCAGTAATTGCTGTCATAGGTTGGATGATATTTGAAATATCGAAGCCTCCATATCAGACACTGATCAGACTTACAGCTGTGTTTACACTACGTGGTGGGGGTCTGAGTCCAGGAAAGGGCCCCCAAGTGGATATAGGGCTAAGAAACAACTGCCGTCCTTAGAGTGGTACAGCCGTGCCCAGCAGTGGGCAGGTCTCAACCCTGCATCATCTTCAGATTTTTGGGGAACTTCACCAGGCTCACCCATCATGGGGTGGATTCTTCTGTATGTTTCATAAAATGCAGGGTGTAGGTAGCTCCCTGGCCCCAGCTACTCTTCCTGCCTGGACCTGTGATGTGTTCTGAACCTTGGGTGGCCCCGCTTATTTCTGTGGGTTTGCAAATGTATGAGACACTGACCTTTTCCACAACTCGAGGTGGAGCTTAAAAGTCACTTGGAGGGCCTCCCCAGTGGCGCAGCAGTTGAGCACTGGGTTGCGAAGCTGCCCGCAGCCTCTGCAGCACCAGTTCGATTCCCAGCTACTCCCGGGCCACCGGAGGAGGGTCCCACATGGCGCACAGACCTCTCCTGCCGCCCGGTGCTCCCCCCAGCAGTGTACTTCGGTCCTTCTGCCTGCTCTGCTCCCCGCTCTGGCTCTGGTGAATTCTTTCACCCTCCCGCGCTTCTGACTGTACCCAGTGCTTGTATAAATAAATTAATTAATTAAAAAAAAGTCACTTGGGGTGCTCTCTCTAACTCCCTAGGATGGTGGGAGAGCTGATCTGTCTGAACTGTCCCAGTAGGCCCCTTGCCCCACTTGGGACTCAACCAGGGAGAGGCCTAGTTCTTTGGAGAAGGTTGAAGCCAATTGAGCATGTATTAAAAAGATCGTGTGAGTTATGGGATACAAACATGAAACCGTCTTATCTTAAACCCTGGTTGGCAAAGCATCTCTGAAATTACTGGAACTCCTGTGGGGCAAGAGGGCGGGAGATACAGTATATCTTATTTGGGATCTGACCCCAGGGTGAGGCCATTTGCATGGCTTTTCAGCTGTGTGCCCGGATGAGAGTCCTGGCAGAGACCCGGATGGCCAGTGCTGAGGACCCAAGCTGGCAGCCTGCACTCTCACTTGGGTTGTGCGATCCTTTGCATCCTTTTCACTCAAGAGTCCACTTGACTCCGTCAATAGGAAATCAGTCGTTACTATTTCCACAGCAGCGTTCAAAGCAAGCAAACAGAAGTAGTCCTCTGCGGAGCCTCGCCGCGCGGCTGGGCTCACCGTCTGCTCCTCCTCTGCCCCTCCTTCCCTTTCAGTCACAGCCATGGCCTGTGGTTCTTGCAGCTGGGGCACCTCAGTGACTGTTACTATTGTCATCCCCTCATGGCAGCCTCCACCACTCCCGCCATCCGCGGAGACACATCAGGGAGGCCCAGCGCCTTCCCTGGGCCCAGCTGCATCCCAGCTGCAGCCGCTCTTTGTGGACAGCTGGAGTGCCAGGCCCCCTTTTAACCCACCTGATATGGTGTCAAGGAAGTGCACACACAAGGTGGTCAACTGACCATGAAGCATAAAGGATGAGGAGAGGGCAGGAGTCACAGGGGTCAGGAAAAATGCAAAAGCCACCTGCCACTGGCTCCTCATGCACTTGAGTGTAAGACGTGCCACTTCTGTGGAAGCCGCTTTGCTGCAGTGGTAACTTAGAGCCCCTTCTCCATGACCACACCTAGATCAAGAGCCCACTCCCTAGGTATTTCACAGGAGATGACAAAGATTACCGTGGCACCGAAACTCAAGGTGTTGGCGAGAAGGTAGTAAAAAGTGCAGCTCAGAAAAAACATGGGGCAAGAAAAAGAACAACCATCTGTCCAGGTCCACTCGGCAGAGTGCAGGCCACATGAGTCAGGGTAGGAGGACACCACGAGGAAAACCTGGACTAGACCTCTCTGTGGCTTAGAAGCTGTGTTTTGTGTTTAAAGAAAGCAAGTTTCTTGTTCAAAGTGAGAGTTTACCAAAACCAGAGCCAATAGCAAGCCAGTTTATCCCACTTTGAACTGGGATCATATGTTTTGGGTTTTTTAAAGTATTTATTTACTTTTGCATAGAAGAACTGGGATGCAGGCAGGAGGTGAGGGCTGGGGTGGAAAGGGATGAGAGGATTCACCAGAGGCAGGGTGGGGAGCAGAGCATATGTACAAAGTCTAAGCTAATCCCAGAAATGATGATAAAATTCTAATATACCTTAGAGGAAGAGGCTACTCACCTGTGTCACGTGGCTTTTTAAGACCATGGAGAACATGAAGACCAGCCAGCTCCATTCTCTCACCGGCTAGCTGGCCTTGAGCGTAAGAGCCCATTTCTACATGACTCAGTTTCCCCTTCCGTAAAGTGGAAGTAAGACTGACTGTTCCGGTACTCTCAGAACTACTAAAATAACTAAAATGAAATAATAAATGTGAAACACTCGGAGCAATAAATAAGCACTAGACAAACAGAAGGAGTTACATGAATACCACTTACCTCCTTCACAGTGCCAATGCCCTTTTCAAATTTAATTTATTGTCCAATTTTCCTGCTTTCCAACATCTGTTCTAGGCTTCAGTGGTCCCCCCTGCTCTTATTTTACTTCACCTGAGCTTCTTCACTTAGTTTAAAAAAAATCTTTTTAAAGTCTATGCATCTTTATAACAACTTGAGATTCTTTTCCTCGAAGGAGATGACCTAACCGCAAATAGGCAATGGTGCCATGAGCTCAGCCCCAGCGATTTCAGGTTGAAGATGAGACGGTTTCTCCACTCTCATGCACCTTACCCTTGGCCCGCGTCTTGGGGTGAGCGCTTTTCCCACCTGCGGGCTGCGGATTGTGCTGTGCAGCCTGCAGGGTTTGGTTTGAGATCCCTGGATTAAAATCTGTGTGTGCCCCCCATCATCTTCCCGAA